AGACTGATGTCTCTTGAGGCTGGTGACTGCTGTCCTCCCCAGGGTCCCCAAAAGTCAGAGGACATGGGTGGAGGTTTATTAGGATGATGGTCCAGGAGATGCTGGCCTGTATGCTTTGTGTCCACAGGGTGGGATGTACTGGCTGGTCCTACTGGATGACTACAGTGCTGGCTTTGGTCTCATGGTGGTGGTGATCACTACCTGCCTTGTGGTGACACGTGTCTATGGTAAGGCTGCCTGTCCCCACAGGGGCACAGGGAAGGAGGTGCTGTCTGTATGAAGAGAGGAATTTAGAGGGAGCAGTAGGGGAAACCAGCAGCCTCACAGTGGAGCATGAGACTCTGCTCCCATCACCTGTTTCTTCTTGACTGTCATTGATTCACCTCTCCAAAGATACACGTGGTGCTGAGCCTGGTCCTTCAGGCAGCACCAGCTGGGCCCCCCCTGCACCTCCCAGATGGGTCGGGGGAGATGGCAGTGGAGGATACAAACCACTGCTTGTGATCAGTGCAGGGCAGCCTGGTACAGGCACAAGGCTCTGGCAGGGGGGTCAAAGCTTCTGAGTGCCTCTCCCTCCTGCAGGCATGAAGAGGTTCTGCCGAGATATCCACATGATGCTAGGATTCAAACCAGGCCCCTACTTCAGAGCTTGCTGGATGGTCCTATCCCCAGCCACCATGATGGTAAAGTGCTCAGCTTGAGCTGCTGGATGGTGCTGGAAAACCATGGTGCTGCCAGTATCCCTGGGTGACCTCCCAGTGTGATAAGTTACTCTGCTGGCACCTCCTGCCCCAGAGACCATCCTTCTTCTGGGAGGTGTCCATCATCTCCAGGCCTTTTTTAAGCATGAGCCCTCTGGGATGATCTCACTTTCTTCCCATCCCACAGGCTCTGCTGGTGTATAACATTGTCAAGTACCAGCCTTCTGAGTATGGCAACTACCGCTTCCCCACCTGGGCAGAGGTCCTGGGCATCCTCATGGGAGTCCTCTCCTGCCTGATGATTCCCATGGGCATGGTGGTGGCTGTGCTCCAAGAAGAAGGGACGCTGTGGGAGGTAGGAGGTACTGGGGCCTGACACTGCTAGGGAGCATCCCAGAAATATGCAGCAGGGAGCACAAGCCCCTGCCAAGTCAGTATCCTCTGGGAGTTTCTGTATCCTCTCTCCTGGAGCTGTGTGTCCCTCTTGCTGCCCATGGGGTGTGAGAGATGGCACATCCCAAAGCATTTCCAGCAGTGCTGCTTCCCTTTATGCCAGGCAGGTACTGAGTAAACAGCTGCCCAAGGGGCAGCCCAGTGTGCATTCCCACTCCAAAACAAGCCTGCTGTGCCCTGTGAGGAAACACATTGTCCTCAGTGTGGGGTGGCCACGGGCACCTGGGACTTTGCACCCAATTGGCACAGACAGAGCAAGGCAGACAGCTGACAGACTGTGCAGGCAGCCCAGATGGGATCCCTGCCCTGAAAGGCTTCTCCCAAGAGCAGGTTACAGAGCTGCTGGCTGCTCACAGCTTTCCCAGACCTTCACTGCTCTTGCCAGGCTGTTAAAAGCAGAGGAGCAGAGCTTGATGCCCTCCCTAGGCAGCAATCCCCTGCTGGAGGACTTGCTGGCTGTAACCTGGCTTGACACAGCCATGGGCACTGTGACATGGCCAGGAGCCACCTTGGCCAAGGCTAACCCCTTGTCTGAGTGGCTCTAACCCCACAGCACAGGGCTGTAGCCCCCCAATAGCCCCTCACTCCTGCAAGCCCTCGCCACCAGCACCCACAGCTCATGACACCTCCCCACCCACAGCAAGACACTTAGACAGAACCACCTTCCCCAGAAGGTCTCAGGACGAGCTTTTGACCCCATCCCATCCTCATTGAGGGTTCTTTCAGTCCCTGGGGGCCAGCAGGGCTCTGGGAGCGGTGGGTGAGCTGTGGGGTGGGGTGCTCCTGGGGAGTGAGGCTGCGGGGTGCCTGTGCTCCCTCTGCCTGTCCCCCCACAGCGAGTGCAGCAAGCCAGCCGGCCGGCCATGGACTGGGGCCCGTCCCTGGAGGAGAACCGCACCGGCATGTACGTGGCGAGCCTGGCTGGCAGCCAGTCCCCCAAACCCCTGATGGTCCACATGCGGAAATACGGGGGCATCACCAGCTACGAGAACACGGCCATCGAGGTGGACCGGGAGATGGAGGAGGAGGACGAGGAGGAGTCCATGATATGAGGGGACCCAGCGTCCCAGAGGCTGGGTGGGAGCTCGCCTCCCATTTTGCACAGGTTGCACTGCAGCACTTCAGGACAGCTTGGTGGGTCTTTCAAGGAGTAGTCAGGAGCTGCTGACCCTGCCAGGTTCCCCATCACCACCCTGGCCCTGCCAGGACAGAGCTGCTGCCTGTCCTGGTGCCCCCGATGTGTTTCTGTTCAGTGTGACAAACTGTGTGATGAGTCCATGTGTTTGTGTGACAGTGTCTGGTTGAAGTGTCACAGCTGCCCCACTCCCACCCACAGCCCCAGCCCTGCTGTCCCCTCTCAGGATTGTCCAGGGTGGAGGGATGTCCAGGCTGCAGGAGGTGGGGAGGAGGAGAAGGAGCTCCTGTGTGTTGTTCTGTTCTGTGTTTGTCTGTATGTGACTCCAATAACCCATAAACACGTGTGAAAGAATCTGTAACAGCCTTCATGCCCAGAGGACAACTTGTGCCAGAGTGCTCTGATCCCACAGAGGTATTCCAGCAAAACCAGCACAAATCAGTGTCCTCCTCAAGCAATTTGACCTAATAAATGAGCAGTAATAAATGAGTAGAAGAATAAAAGAAAAGGCTTTATAAACAAACCAGGCTGTAGATCCCCCAAGGACCTTAGTGGGTCAGGGTGGCTCTTCCCTGCGATGTCTGGCAGGGTTGGAGTGATTTGAAAGGACAGAAGAGATGGTGTAACCTGTCCCTCATGTGTGCAGGAGGTCAGGGACAGGTTTCAGTTGGACCAGTGTCCAAAGAGGACCTGTGTCTATTGCCAAGGGAGATCCAAGGTGTGGCCCCAGCCCCGAGTGCTGCTTTTCCCAGGGAAAGCAGAAGGGCTGGGTTTCGGTGTCCATGTGTGATTTGGGGTAGATTAGTCCATGTCCCACCTCCTGCTGGCACTTCTGGCCTGAGGGTCTTGGTGACCTCCTCGATGAGGCTGTTTGGACCTGATGCTGCCAGTCCCCATCATCCCTGTGCCACATGTGCCTTCTGCCATGTGCCATCAGCTCACCCATAGCTGCGTGACACAGCCCCTGCCTGGGTTATTTGGGGGGGGTCTTCAGCATGGAAGAAAGGCATATCTAGAGGAGCTTCCCATGCACATCTAGTGGGGCACAGCTCCTCCTGATATTATTCTGCAAATCTTTATCCTGGTAAAAGACAAAACCATAGGGCAAAGCAAAATTAGGGTCTGTGTCTGGATTATGGATGTGCTCCTGGTGCACTGGGTCCAGCACTGTGGCCTGAGCCTCCAGGGTGAATTCTGTCAGGAGGCTGCAGTCTTCACCCTATAGCATGAGAGATTTAATTATTGCCTTTGCCCCTCTGCAAGGATCAGCTCCTACACTTTGTCCTCCTGCCTGCTCACCTCCTCTTGTCCAGGGATGCTGAGCTCATTTCCAGATGGCTGTGCCTTTCCTTTCTCCTGCAGGACCACTGATGAATGTCCCCATCCTCCTCCCCATGCCCCACCATGGCTGCAGCCCATGGGGGCAATGGGGGTCCCCCAGCTCCAGCCACTCTGGGTGTGTGGCTCTGGCAGCAAAACTGAAGCACCTTCGACTGCTGGCCCCAGGTTAATCATTAGAGCCTGGCCATAAAAGCCTGGCTGATGGAAAGCTCAGGCCATGGCGGCTGGGGAGCGGGGAGGGCCTGCCATAAACATTTATGGCCCCAATGAATCCCTTGCTCTAACCTTGACACTATTTACTGAGCAGGAGGCCTCTGGAGGTCACGGTGCTGCCCAGCCATTGCTGTGGGTGCTGGCCAGGGAGCCCGGGCTGGGCTGGCCCCTGGGGGGCACACACAGGGGTCTGTGTGGGGTGATGGACTCCGGGGTTTGTACTGCCAGCCACAAAGTACCAGAAGCAGCAGGAGGACCTGACGCCTTCCCACAGCATGAGGCTGCTCTGGGTTGACCAAGATGGTCCAGTCTCTGCACGTTTCTCAGGTTTTCCTACTTTCATGGGATCCTACCATATTCCCCAAATCCCCACTGTGATCCTGGGATCCTCAGGGCTCTCCTTTGGTAGCTGCCATCAACCAGCAAGTGATGGGAGGGATAGAGCTGCAGCTGTGCCAGGGGTGTGGTTGGGAGGCAAAGCTGGCACTGAGGGAGGACACCAAGGGCAAAAGGCAGTGGGGCAGTGGCACATCCAGAGGACACGTGTCCTGTGCCACGCATGGCTGCCCAGGGCTGGGGGGAACACTCCAGTGCTGACACCTGCCAGGGCCGGGACAGATGGCAGAGACAAGGGGGCAAGGGGGCACCCCAGGGCCTGGCGTGGAGCAGGAGCAGAGAATGTGGCAGCCTGACTCCAGTCCCCTTGAGGTACCAGCCCACCTGCATGAGCAAAGCCCAGCAGGTGCCCCTGGGAGCCCCCCAGACACTCTCTGCACTTAGCTGGAGGTCCTGTGCCCATCAGCTTCCTCTAAACTTCCCCAAACTGCCCAGTGGGCAACCCCACCCCCCATCTAGCTTAAACACCTGCTGGGGGATCCCAGACACCTGCAGCACCCAAAGCCCTGCCCCTGGGAAAAGGGCTGGATGGCAATGAGCTGGGTCTGGGCGTGACACTGAGCTCTCTGAAACCACAGAGATGCTGAAGATGAGGGGTGGGCAGCGTCCGGAGTACCAGCACCCTGCAGGCAGCAGGATACCTGCAGCCCCTGCCCAAGGCCTGGTCTCAGCCTTGATGCTTTCGAGGACAGGAGTGCGGTGATGGAGGGACAAGGGGGTGGCAGACGGTCTGAGTCACTGCAGTGACGGAGAATCATCCGTTTCCATGCTCAGAAGTTGGTAGCTATTTATTGCACTTGAACACCAAGAATAAAACTGACACTCGCCCTCCCTCCCAAACCCACCCCGCTCCCCGTCCCCCCCCACCGCCCTCCCCAAACAGAGCATCCGATTTGAGCAGTGATCATTCTGTTCACAGCCGCAGGTTCAAAAAAGACAAAGGAAAAGGAAACAAAATCAGTCCTCCCCTACCCACCCCCCCACCCCCCCAAGTTCCCACTGAATCCAACACGGTCACACTGCTCAACAGTTCGAGTGCACTTACAAAAAGAGAAGAGAAAGGCTTCAGCTGCAACCGTACGGACGAACAGACACGAGGGGACAGGCAGCGACCCCTCCCTGGGGCTTGATTATTTTGTTACGTGACAAAGCTTGGTATACTCTTAATTATAATATATTTTTTGCAATCATCTTAAATAAATATTTCCATAGAGATTTCCTGTAAGTATATATATTTTTTATATATATATAAAATATAAAAGAGAGAGATAGATCTCAATTTCTTTCTTTAAACCACTGTTAACATATTTTCCCTGCTTGTCCAAAAAATGTTACAAAAGCCCTAAAATTGTGCAACAATTAGAAAAAAGGGACAACAATCCAAAGAAGGAAGGAGCCACTCGATACAGTCCCCTCCACTGCTCCCTCTCTCCCACTCCCTGTTGATGACCTGCAGGAGGGAAGGAGATTCAGATGAATCTGGTGGCAGAGTGGCCACCAGCCCCTGCTCTGGTGTCCCCACAGCCTGCTCACATCTGGGTTTCCCTGTCTGATACGGACAGGACCTGCACCTTGGGACATGGGCAAGGGTAAGGTCTCTGCTGGCTGGAGGATCTGTGCAGCATCAGGAGCGTGGGGTACACCATAACCCATCCTGTGGTGGGCAAGAAGGGTCAGTCTGTCTCCTAAGGTGATCAGAGGATGTGATCTCCTGCTGGCAGACACCTCTTGGTCCATGGGGCTGTGTGGCTGCCCCCTCACACACGGCACTGCAATCCCACCACGGGCTGCAGAGCCCACCAGGAGCTCCAGGTGGGAGGAAATGACTGCTGCCTGCTTCAGCTTCTGGAGATCCATGGGGGCAGCCATGGGAGGAGAGGCAGGTTTGGGGTCAGACAAGGATTTGGTGCCTGGCAGAAGGGGCATTTCATGTGGGTTTGAGGGGAAAAGACAACTCTCCCAGCAGTGTCTGGCTGGGGTGAGAAGGAGGGCGCCGGCTCCTCCAGCAAAGAGCTGAGGCCTCTTTGTCTTCCAGAGGGGATGCATCAGCAAGATGTGAGAAATTATGATGTTGCCAAAGGACCTTGGCAGCCAGGAAGGGAAAACAGGCAGCTCCGAAACCCACCTGTGGAGCTGGGAGCTCGACACCACTACAGCAAGTGCTTCCAGTTAAACATCCCCTGTGGTCTGGGAGAGGTGGAAGAGAGGATGAGTTTGGAGGACTTCTGAGTTTGGTTTGACCCAGGCACCAGGAGATCAGAGGAGAGGGGTTCTGTCTGTGCCAGGAAATTAAATGTGCCATAGCCTGATCTCCAGACTTGAGGCCGATGGGACAGGAGGTCCATGGTGGTAAACTCTATCCCTGCCCATGTTGCTTATTAGGAATATCCCTGGACATTTTCATTCCCAGATCCATGGTGAGATTGTTGGGGCAATGCCCATTTACATGTGTCAGGGACAATGTCAACAGCTTAAAAGTAGAGCAGCATCCCTGACTCTTCCAGCCAAAGAAGGACGGTGGAAACTTATTTATATAGCTTTCCTGCAAGTTTAGGAGAAATCAGCAAATGCGAAGGAAGACAGAGACAGATGTTTTCCACGGATACTGAAAGAAAAGGTGGAGGTCCATCAGTGCTAGCTGAGATGGTCTGGAGATACAGGAACCTGCTCTGGAGAAGCAGGACAAGGTGGGGCAGAAACACCAGGCAGGACAGACCCCTAAAGTGCAGGTGCTTAATGCTGCCAGCGTGGGCATGTTGGGAAGTTGGGTCTTCCTTGGTCAGGCTGAAGCTTGACTGGAAGACTAGAATGAGTTTAAACTTCAGACTCTGCTTCCCTTGCAAAGGAGTGTTGCAAGGACATCCAGCTGCCTCCTGGGGAGATGACCTTAGGGAAACCTCAAGGAAGAGAAACTCCCTCCAAAAAGACACCTCAAAGCCTTCCTGGGACCAAGATGCTTCTCCCTAGAAGTGGCTGTGGGTTCTCAGTGAAAGGAGGTTGTATCTACCCCAACATCTCATCTGTTATTCCCAGGGAATCCCACCAGACCCCAGTCCCAGTCCTTTCTCCAGTAGCAGCTGCTGGAGCAGCTTCACCCTCACAGGCCACCCAAGGTCCACAGCTATCAGCAGCTTCAAAACCAGGCTGTGATGGCATCTGCCCTTCAGCCCCCATGCAGAGCCCTGATATGATGTCCTCCATCATCATCCACCTTATACCAATTCCCAAAAATCCTCTTGACACCTGAAGAGCTTGGACATTAGAAGGTGGATGACAATGACCACAGCCAGCTTCAGAGCCAGCTCTGGAGAGGGAGAGAGAGAGAACTATGAAAGAGCTGAGTCCTTCCTTTAAAAATTAAAAAAACTTCAGCACTACATGACTACAGGAAGAAAAACAGATTTGTAAAAACACCCAAACTCTACCTTAAAAGTTAATCCTTTCCCTGCATGGATTTCCCTGCTTTGGGGAACTCTTGCAAGCCTATGGTGCACAGGTCCACCAAAGGCATGGGGAACCCCGTGGGCACCCATGGATCAGCTCTGTGATTTGCCCCCAAAAAGGCATCTCCTACATACATCACCAGCAGCCATCACACTGCTGGCACAGAGGAACACACCAAAACACTTCTCAGGGCCTGTCCATGCCCCAGCAGTTTAGATTTCTCCCCCTCCATCCAGTGGGAAAATAATTTTGCAGTCTGCAAGGATGCAGCTGCATTTGGCATTGTGGCTGTCCCTGCCTCAACAGAGAGCAAAGCATTCAAAACCACTGAAAATGCAAAATACACACTCAGAATTTACATGGAGGAAACATTTCCTCTTTTTTTTTCCTTTTTTTTTTCCTTTTTCCTTTTTTTTTAGGTCCAAAAGAAGCAGTTTTTGTTCGTTTCTTTGTTTTTCAACACACGCACCGTCTAAAAAGTTAAACACATGCAGACGAAGAGAGTGGAGCTAGAAAGTACCCCGGGGCAGCAGTGCTGCAGAAGCCTCATCAGTGAGCAAAGAGGCTACAGTTGGAAAAAAGAGAATTTGAAATGGAAGAATTGCCAGAAGAACACCCACACTTGAACCTCTACCTGATGGCAAAGAGGTGAAACTAACGTTCCCCTTCCTGGCCATGTCTTCTGTCCTGAAAGCCACATGCTGGTGGCACTCCAGAGCCACCACTGTGGTTTGCCCTGCAGGAAGACCCATGGGGTGCAGGAAGGTGCCACGGCAATGTGGGTGCCCCTGGAGATGGGTGCCCCTGGAGGCGGGTGCCTTTGCCACCCAACGCTGCAGGACAGAATGGGACAAGCCACCACGGTGTGAGAGGAGGAGGCTGGCAGCCGTGGGACCCCTGGTAGGAGCATCGTGGCAGAACAACCCCACTTCAAATGTAAACGCAATGAAAAACAGCAACCCCCGAAAATACCCCCTCCCGCCCCACTTAAACAGTTGAATGCTTCTAGTTATTACATAAAGATCCATTTCAGCAAATACTCAAAATCAAGTTACGAAATACACGGTAGGTTGGTTTCTTTCCCCTATAAAAAGGCATGCGCTCAAAGGAGAAGACAGCGAAAGGCTTGTTTGTTTTTGTTGAAGCACAATCAGATTCTGCAGTTTGTCACTAAAGCTTGCATTCCTTGTTGTCGCTGGAAGGAGTCACGCGGGCCATGGAGCTTTGTGCCCGAGCCAGCAGCCAGCTTGGCTGGCCCCATCCCATCCTGGGAATCGGGAGCAAGGGAACGCCAGTGCTGTACGTGGGGGCAGGGTGGGTGCTGGGGAAAAGGACCCAGGCTGGGTGGTGGGTGAGGAGGAGGGTGCAGGGGCGATGCTACCACCCGGACATGGATGGGAGAGCCCCAGCTCCCATCTGTGCTGAAGGGAAGCAGTTGTCATTCTCCTCCTCTCTTCTCCCAGCATCGCCAGTCTCTGCTCCAAAGGGAGAAGGGAGGAAGAAGGGAGAGCATCCTTCTTGGCACAGCAGTTGGCTCCACAGCCTGGAGCCAGGGTGCAAACCTACTTGCTCTCCTGGGAAGAAGCCAGCCTGCGCTGGGAAGAGAAAATGAACAGATAGTCTTTACTCACCCATCCAAACACGGCCCTCCTTGCACAGGTACGCATGAAAAATGGACTTGGCAAATGGATTGAATTGCAGTTCCCTGGACGAGGCTGCTGGGAAGCAGGAACTCAGGTTGGGAGCAGGCAGGAGTCATGGCAGCAGAAAGGGACCTTGACAGCAGCAAAGCAAAATCCACCAGCACACAGGGAGGGTGCAGCAGAGAGCGGCTCAAAACTGCCCTCTTCTTCCACGGAGGGCTTCCAGCAGAGGTGGGAATGGAGGTGGAGGATGAGCCCAGTTCAGTAGATGTGCTGGGTAGTGAGGAGGCCCACCGACGCTATGCAGCCGAGGAGGGGGGCCTGTACACCGGGCAGATGCTTGGGTTGAAATTCATGGTTTCTCTTTTTCTGGTTCATGCAGAGGAAGGGGGCCCAGCGCCACGACCCCGGCAGGGTGGGGGGTTTGATGGGGTGCTTGTGCTGCACTGGCGGGGCTGTCGTGTGTGTGCGGTGAGAAGCGAGGGGTTATTCCAGCAGGAACCAAGCAGCAGAGCCAACAGCCAAAGTCCCGTAGGTGAACATGTCGGAGGAGGTCTCCCCTTGGTAGTCAGTCAGTGACAAACCCAACACGGGCAGGGCCACACTTCAGCTGCAAAACACAACCCGGGAAGAGCCGGAATTCACTTTGACCATCCCTTTGTCAGAGCATCCCTCTCCCCACTGCTATCTCACAGCAATCAGCCATCTCCCCACCGCAGATCCTCAGGAGAGGATCCCACATCCTGAGAGCCCCAACGCTGCAGCGTGCCCACAGCAGCCCTCCCTATCCCTTGTGCCCCACCCTGGACACTCACAGGGCTTACTGCGGTAGGACCGAGGGCGCGCCAGATCTGTGGAAGTGAACAATCTGCCATTTGCCATCCCGGCGGTGCCAGATGCGGGTCTCCTCGGACTGGGCAGTGCGGGGGATCCCTCCAGAGTCCACGTACTGCGTGATGCGAATGTAGGCAATGCAGGCAGACTCGTCTCCCATCAGGTGGATGTGGGGGTTCAGGATCGTCGTATGCACGGGCTTGCTGTTCCGGGACCACACTGGTGAGGGAACAAGCACAAGTGGATTTAGGAGTTTGGGTGGCAGCAATGTTGGAAGTGGAGACACTTTGTTAAGCTCTCTGCTTGACGGCGCTGAGTGAATGTTGTACAGGTGGATTCAGCATGGGTCCATCTAGAAAACAGCTAACCCAACAACCTCTACAGATACCTGGACCCAGCTGGCCTAACAACCCCTGCTGGGATCTTCCAGATCAGCCGGAGATGCTCCCACAGCAACCCTAGCCCTAATCCCTCCAACAAACTGATGGAGGTCAAGACAGGCACATGGGAGGTGGGAGGGGTCCCTCAGAAAGCAAGTGAGCTGCTTACGGTTTTCAAAGTAGAATCGGTGGAAATCCAGGCCTTCCACAAGGTTGCCCAGAGCCTCAGGCTCAAAAGCAGTCATCCCAGGGTCACACATTTTCCTGGGGAGCCAGGAAAGGAAGAGAAAAGGGAGAGGTTATCTCACTACTTCTGACACAAGAACCAAATGCCTCCTGCTCAGAATGGCTCCCTCAGTCTGAGGCTGAGGCATGTCTGCACCAGTGAGTAATTCTTGCAAAAATCTGACCTCAACCCTGAATTCTGCCCGCACACCTCCCCTCCCAACCACTAACTGTAGCCAAGGCCCCACCAAAGCAGGGTGCCTTCTCCATCAGTCACCCTCTGCAACTAAACATCCTCAGACATTGTCATCTTCTTTACAAGAAAGGAAGACATCAGGGAAAAAGCTCATATTATCTGCTCTATGTCAAAATATCCCTGCTGCGATCCTCTGATGCAGGGATGACTGCACTCCCTCAGACATCACTAATTACATCATCCTTGGACACAGAAAAGGTGTACTCTGAACAGCATCAGCTCAGCAAGCAGAAATCATCTACACTTCAGAGCAGCCTGTGGCAATCTGGATATAATGGATTCCATGGATACAAACACTTCTTTTACCATAATTCATGTTTACAATTATTCCTTTCTGCAAACCAAAAATTGGGCTCATCTGTGACAGTAAGACCAGAGAACTGTGGTCAGATGAGCACAAGAGCAGCATCAGGCTTGGAAACTGATGTCTCCTTCTTCTCTTGGATGGTCTCCACTCTTCCCCACCACATCAACCTTGTCACCCTGCCCTGGGCAGCAGTAAAATCCCCTGGGCAAGTAAGAGTGAGCGACTCCAGCCTGGGAGGCTGAGCCCTCACCCAGCCCAAACCTGCACACTCACGTGTAGGACTCGAAGTCGCCATTGCTTATTGCTTCAATCAGCTGCTCTGTGACTTTAATGATTTCTTGCTTCCGTACTGTTGGTTTAAAGAGAAAAGGGAAATAAAAGGATAAAACAAATGAGAAGTAGGCACTGGTGTTACCATATCGGTGAGAAATCTTTATCTCATCAGGAACAGACCACAGGATGTGGGGGGACTTTGGAAACTGTACAGGGAAAAGGCAGGAGAGCAGCTGGGGAGAGAGACATGGCTCTTCATCTCCAGATTTTCAAAGCCAGGGCAAAACTGAAAATGCCTGTAATTTCCTAAAGAGCCAAAAGGTTAATCATCAAGTGGGAAGTTACCCTCAGTCCTAAAGTTGGGACAGGTTGGTTTTGGCTGAAAAACTTTGCTAAGCTGGTACCCTCTACCCCAGGACTCACAGCACAGGCCAGCTAGGGTGAACTGCACCAAGAATGTTCTCACCTTCTTTTTGAAATGGGAGGAAATGGTCTCAGAAGGGAAGAGAACAGGTGACTGACATGTGCAGCCACCCCAGGAGATACAAGAAAAGACCCTGCAAAGGGCACAGAACTGTGCAGCTGCTGCCAGAGATTCCAGGCACTGCCAGTTCATCTGGGAAGGGATGGGCTGCAAGAGTGGCTTTGGGGCTCCCAGGGATGCAGGAGGAAATGTCAGAGGTAACCCTGGGCTTATTAACAAAGTTTCACTTCAAATACAAATTGACATCATATTTGACTTTTTTTTTCCTTTGCATTGTGACTAATGAAAGGAGAGGGAATGTGCTCCCAGGAGTTGCTCAGAAAGGCGAGGGAATCTCACCACTTCCTAGGCACCACCTGCCTCCACATCCAGGCCCAAGGAGCCCCTCTCCAGGAGGACAAGTTGTCCCATTAGCTCTCATGTCAGGACAAAGTCCATTTTGCTTTGTGTAGGGATCACTTCATCGAGAGACTTTACAAATTAACACGGATAAATGATTCCCTGGGTTATTCTTAGAAAGCTGCCGCTGGCAGGCAGGCAGGCGGCAGACAGGGATTTCCCCTGGAGGCTTTTCCCAAAGGGAAGCTTATTTTAAAAGAGCAGCCAGGCTGCTATCCCTGCAGATTCCTGCCGTTTCCACACCTGCTTTCAGGGAATATCCCTGTTCATGGGAGCACCTCACTCCTCACCACCAGTGCCCCAGCTGCTCGTGTCAGCAAACCAGCAGTGAAACCATCTGAAGAGTTAAAGCAACTTCTGACGGGCCCTGAGGCAGCTTGATGGTGGTGGGTTGCCTCACCGTGGCAAATATCTCATGAGAGGTGGCCAGACCTATGGGCACCCCTCCAAAACAACCTGCCCACCTTCCCATTTGCCCCCATTGGTACCTTTGGTGTCTTCGTCCTCAATGGTGGTGTTGGTGCTCTCCGACGATTCCTGAGCAAAGAACAGAAAGGAGACATGGGGTGGTGAGAAGAGTCTTCTCCCCGTGACAGATGGTGCTCGTGTGTTCGACAGCCCCCCGAGTCTGACCCCACAGCGCTCAACTGTGCCAACAGACAGAAACCAAGGAAAACGCCAGCAGGTCCAACCTGTCCTCAACCACAGCTCTGGGGCAGCACTGGCAGAGCCCTCCCTGACCTCCACTCCTTGTCGCCAAGGGCACAAGAGGTGGGCTGTGGAGGGTCTCGTAGGAACGGTGCTGCCTTTCCTACTGACACCTGTGGGGACAGAGATGGGGGCAGGTCCAGGGGCCGTGTGGTGGGTTCCTAGGAGCGTTGCCGGAGGGGCAGGGAGAGGGGCTGTGCAGGGGTGGAAGACACCATGTTGACTGTACAATAAAGAGAGAGATGTACAAATTAACAGCGAGAAGGAGCTGGGATGAGAAAGAGGGGACTGTGCAGGAGTGAGAGAGACCACACTGACCGCAGAGTAGGGAGAGAAATGTACAATAAAACAGTGCTTCCAAGACCCACATGGACCACTAAAGGCTGAGACACAGCTCTCTCAAGAAACAGCTGAGCACTACACAGATTTGGGGGGAGAGGGGTACTGATCCCCCATCTCTCTCCGGGAGCCTCATCAAGGCAACTCTGCTAGCGGAGCTAGAGCAATGGCTCTGCTAGCTCTTCCCAGCAGAGCCTTGCTTGTGTATTACCCAGAAGACCCCGATGTAGGTTGGCAAGGTGTCCCATGACCATACAGTCCCCGCAGAGGCATGGAAGGTGTTTCTCCAAGGCTCCTTGGACCGATGCAGCCTGCAGACCTGAGTCAGGAGAACTGGGAGAAACGGCATGAGAACCCATCAGCAAGAACCAGGGCTGGCTGCCCACCAGCTGGTGGCCAGCAAGTGCCTGCACCAACCCTGTTAATGGGGTTTGTGGGTGATACGGCTTTGAGGATGTTCCCTCCAACCCCGCTGTCCCTTCTTCCCTACCCCGAGGTAACTTCCAAAAACGGGGGAAGCTGGAACATGTGGAGAGGCCCAGCAATATCGGCATTTAGGAAGACGAAGGACACTCACCATTAACTGAACGCTGGAACTGGACTTTCTTTTCTGGAAAAACAAGGAGAAGAGATGGAACAGGAAGAGACACGGAGTGAGAAAGGCTGAGAGCAGCACATGAAAGGCAGCAGCTCCTGAGCCACCCTTCTTGATCCTCATGGGCAAACGAAAGGCGCAGAGGGACTCGTTGCTCCTGTGGGGACGTGCCGCTGGCTGCAGTGCTGGTGGTGACTTGCCAGCTCTCTCCCCGCATTCCTGACAGCACTTTTCTCTCCTGACCTGCCACAATCTCTGGGGTTGCTCATCCCAAGGACCTGGCTAGTCCAAAAGGGAATCCCTAGGAGCCTATGGGAATCCCTTTAGGGAAAATGGAATCCCTAGGAGCGTGTGGAAACCCCTCTAGGGAATCCCTAGACCTATCTCTGGTGGCCTGTGACCAGGCTGGCAAGCTCACAGGAACAGAAGCAGGGTACTGAAAAGCTAAGGCAGCTTCACCACAGCCCTGTGCCCAGTGTGAATGCTCTACTGACTTCTCTGGATCTGCTCTGGGTGCACTAACTGCTGTGGAGACATTCCTTTAGCTTTCAAACTAGACCAGTCCTAACCTGGCTGGTTTAAGGCCAGAAAGGCACTAAGGCCTCAAGGCAGGCCCGCAGTGCAGGAAGCAGTCCTGAAAACAGCTCCAGTGCTTTAAATCAGGACTCCAAAGAGAAGATCTGCACATTTACCTCCGTCCTTGACCACTACCACTAGGCCTTAAGGTTTTTGAGTTGATCACCACATATCTACTCTTCTGCTTGCAATCCCAATCTATTTCTGGACTCTCCTCCCTTACTGTGCTCTGTTCCCCATCTACATCTTTAACTTAGCTAGGAGACAGGGGGACATGCCTGCATACCCCTTCTGCACCTCTGGCTCCCAGGGAATGAATCCCAGTGTGCGTCAGGGAATACCAACGTGCAGAAATCAGAATCTGCAGTGCCAAATAACAAAGTGCTGTACCAGCATATTTAACAAGGCACCAGCTGTGCCTGCCCTGCAGAGGGAAAAGTACCACACACTGTGCAAATCTCTTGGAAAAGTCCATAGAGAGACCCATTAGGGTGTGTGGGTGGGCTACAGCATAAAAACTGATGATATCCATTCTCCCTCATTGCTTCTTCCACATCCTAACTGCTCCCACCAACATCCCCAGTGAGTTTCCCCCTCTACTACTGCTGCTCTCCCCTACCTCGATAGGTCACAGAATCATGGAATCACAGAATGGTTTGTGTTGGAAGGGACCTTAAAGATCATCCAGTTCCTAGACCAGGTTGCTCAGAGCCCTATCTAACCTGGCACTGAACACTTCCAGCGATGGGGCACCCACAGCTTCTCTGAGTAATCTGTCCCAGTGCCTCAACACTCTCACAATAAATAATTTCTTCCTTATATCCAATCTAAATCTGCCCTTTATCTGTGTGAAGCCATTCCCCCTTGATCTGTCACTCCATGCCCTTGTCCAAAGTCTCTCTCCAGCACTCTGTAACCCCTTCAGGCACTGGGCCATCTGTCAACTCTCGCCCTTCCTTCACTGAAAAAAAAGATGTCCTAAAGGGCAGAGCGAGCTGTGGTATTTTGTCAGGAACCCCATGGAGAAAGGGAGCCACTGGAGCTGGGCTGTTGCAGGGAGGACTGACAGCTTCTGCTACCCAAGGACATGAGACGGGGCAGCAAACTGCAGAAGTTTCAGACGCAACAGAATGCAACACAAAGCAGTGACTGCATCGAGTCGGGACATACAGGAACAGGATGCAACACGGGGCAGTGAGCTCGTCAGTTCAGGACGGGACAGGATGTGACACGGGGCAGTGATTCCATTCGTTACAATGGGACGAGATGTGACACTACACAGGGCAGTGAGAGTATCATAGCTGCTGGGACCAGAGGCCCTCCCATGGATCCCAGAGCAGGGCTCGAGGGGGATTTCTGGTCCCAGGAATGCTTTTAGTAGGTGAGGAACTTCCTCAGGAGGGTTTTGAGCCATCTGGGCCTGGGCTGGCACCATGCTGGTGTTGGAAGGATGTGCAGACAGGCCAGAGGGCAGCTCCAGCTGCCTGCTGCCCACCAGCACAGCTTTGGGCAGGAAAGGCAGGGGTGCTTGCCTGGGATCTGCCTGTTCTCGTGGGGATGGCCATTCCAGCACATTACTCCAAGTGGGGACACCACTCTCCTGTCACCCACACCACGTGGCCCCACTCTGAGCAGACAGGACCATTCCCTTCCCACTGTGCCAACAACTCAAGGCAGGATTCCAGGTTCCTACCTTGCTTTTCCAGCCAGTTAAAGAAGTTAACACTGCTCAGCAGTGTCCTCACATCTGCTGGTTGCCCAGCAGGCCATTAGAGCTTCACCCAACACCCAGGCTCCCCGTGCCCCCCTGAATGAGATACACTGCAGGTTTCCTCAGGCTGAGCATGGAAATGAGAGGTGGGGATGGTTATGCTGAAGGTGGACAATGCAAGGAAGCTGTTTGGAGTGAGCTTGTTTCTACCTTGTCTTCTCCTCCTTCACCTTCCTGGCCATCTAGCCAAGCTGTATCCCCTTTACTTGTTGAAAAGGCAAATTCATTCTCAGAGCTTGTCCACACTCTTCAGATGAGTGCTGGTGGGTAGGTTGCATTTGGAATGAGGCCTCATTATCTGCTCCCTTCTTGCCAGCAAGGGCTGAGGGCTGGGGATGCAAACCAGCCTCTCTGATCCTGCTCTGAAACCAGACTCTCCTCACTGAGTTTCAGTGAAAAGCCAGAAGGCTGTTCACCCAAACAAGCTATTTTGCTACAATAGGAAATGCCTCTTTTCCCAGGATAATGTCTGCCCTCGAAGCTCCTTTGAAGTCCAACAGGGAGCATCATTAGCAAGTTGGGCTGGCAAATTCAAAGCTGTCCCTTTTTGCTGGAAAATTAGATTCAGGACTGTGCCTGATGAAGCCTCTTCATCCAGCAAGCTCTCCTTTAATAGCTTAAAAATGCATCTTCTGTTTGGTCTCACTTGTGCTCCAGCAACTTATACCAAGTTAGCTCTACCTGTGGTGTCACATCTTATGTGACTCTCAGAAGCAACCGGGACCTCAGAGCAGCAGAGGACAGGCCAGCAGTGGCTAGCATAGGAGGTGTTGTGACTACCATGGGATCTGCCAGCACCAGCCCTATTAATTCTGTTCTGGGAGTCCCATGATATCCTGACAGCTCAAAGTAATGTCCTCTCAGAGCCATCCAGGCCATCAGCCTCATGCTGCAGAATAACACTGCATGGGCAGAATGGCCTCTCGTGGAGCTGAGACCAGGTTTGGAGGGCTGTGCATGGTCTCAGTCCTTGCAGGCTTCTCCTGTCCCAGCTGCTGGGTCTGGGAGAGTGAGAGAAACACATGCCATCACCAGACCATCAGCTTCATCACTCATTCGTACTGAGGAAGGAAGAAGCTGGCTGAGGGCTCTGCTCCTCCAAAATCCTGCACCTGTCACAGCCCAACAGCTGGGTCCCAGTAAAAGGGTGGGAGAAGGTTCTGTAGGTTCTCCCAACAAAGGGCCCCAGTGGAGGAGGAAGAGCGGCCACGCTGCAGTCAGGCTCCCAAAGCTCTGCCAGATGATGGAAGATGTCACCACGATGGAGGATGTCACCACACCAGCTCTCCCTTGCTGAGTGATCCATTGTATTTATGAAGGGAACAGGTAAGGAGAGAAGGACCCTCGCATGGATCATTCCTTCCTGCAGGAGGAGTTTAACAGAGCTGAATAACCACTGCTATCCACCACATCTCCATGTTACCAGAAACAGCAGAATTTTGCTGCCTCCTGGAGCCACCTTGTCCTGGAGCAGAGCTGAGGCCCCACCTCAGAGGGGCTGGTGAACCCGCAGGCTCTGCAGCCCAAGAAACAAGATCCACCAAGCACCAGCTGGCTTTTAGAGCATCACCAAGCCATTTACTCTGTCAAAGCACCACCATGGTTCTTTGCTGTCTGCACTGGGCACAGGGGACAAGCAGCACTGTGAAGGTGGTTAAAAGCACCCACATGTCACCCAGCAGCACATCAGCACTTGGTACAGGATGGGACAGGAATTGGGACCAGTCTCACCAGCTGCAGCAGGACCCCCATGCTGAGCGAGCAGGACATGAGGCCACCCATCCCACCAGAGAGCTGCTGTTGGAGCCATGGTCCAGGGCTGCAAAGCTGCCTCCTCCTGTCCCCTGTCCTGGTCCAGCCTCTGCCTCTCCCCCTCCCTGGGGGCAGCGAGGGACAAGCGCATATTGCCGGCAATGAAGCAGCAGCGAGCACCCTCAGCACCAGCCCACTCCCCTCGCCCGCCGCGCTGCAAAGCCTCCTGTGCGCTGCCTGTCCGGGCAGGAGCGCGGCCGGGACACACCGGCACAGCCGAGCCAGCAGCTGCCCTTTACAGTGCAGGGTGTAGCGGGGACTGCCGGCGTGGCACAGCCCCGAGAGCCCACGGGCAGCAGGGCACGGAAACGCTCACCGCCGGCACGGCACAGACACCCCCAGACCGCCCGGCAGAGAGGGGCGGGCGGCACAGGGCAGCGGGGCTGAGCTTACCTTCACTCCGTCATTCTTCTTGTTGCCACCACTCTTGCCTCCTGGAGAGAGGAGGAAGGAGATTAGCAGAGCCAGGCAGGGCACCAAGACCAGGAGGGCGAGGATCAGCAGCATGGCGGTGGGTGCCAGAGCGGCAGGAGCCCCCGGCCCGGCTGCTGGGGCTCTTCTTCTCTCCAGCAGCCACCGGCGCAGCCCGCGGGAGCTCAGGGGCGACCTTGCCGGCGCTGTCCTGTCCTAGCGCGGTGGCTCTTGGCCGGGGGCATGACCCGAGTCCTAACGTCACGCCAAGTGCCTGGGGCGGTGGAGGGGGCTGGCAGGGCTGCCCGGCAGAGGCGGGCTCTGGCCGGGCTGTGCTGTTGACCCGGCGTGGTGCAGTGTGGAGGAATGGGCTGCCCGCCTGCCGCCCTCTAATTTTAGCCCCATGCTGCCGGGATCATGTGCTGCCGGCCCGCCGGCCCGACAGCTGCAAGCCCGCATTTTGACAAGGATGAAAAGCAGGCGCCTTCCCCTGAGCCCACCCACCGCTGCCGACAGTGCCCCAGCCCCCGCGGCTGCACAGCCCGCTGCCCTGAGCCCCGCCGCAGGACGGGACCGCTGCAGCCCAGCGCCTGTGGCCCGCCAGCCCCGCCTGCTCCCGGGCAGGGTGAGCCCTTGGGCCCTGCGTGGGACGGGCAACGCGAGGAGAGATGCTTTGAAATTCCTGCCTTTCGATGCTTCCTGTCCGCCTCTCCCGGTGTGGGGCTGACATCGGATCCCCCCAGCTGCTGGACTCCTCCAGCGCCCGCCACAAGTGCTAAATGTGTCAGCACGATCCCCCCACGACAAATGCAGATACCAGCCTTGGCCACAGCCCTCTACCCTGGCACCCCTGCCCACCTCCTACACCTGGCACTCGGGGAGCCTCAGAAAAGCACCCTGAAACATCCAGCTAACCCCAAACAGCTGCCACCAGCCAGCTCAGCAGCGTGCAGGGCTTGGCTGGTGTGTCCCAGCCCTGTAGCACCACTGCAGGGCCATCTCCAGCACTGGGGAGGGCAGGAGGTGACAGCGGGTGGATGAGCTCTGCAGTCACACGGCTGCATTTGGTTCCATGCCTGGGGAATCGCCTGTGAAATCCCATACTCGGCGAGGTGTCCCCAGAGGGAACAGCTCTCGGGGAAGGCACTGGAGCAGAGGGCTTCTGCCTGCACTGAGACCTCTCCAGTGCATAGGCTGGGCTGCCATGCTCGGTCCTGTCGCCATGGCAGCCCTCGGGATGTAGGGAGGCAAGAAGAGAGTGGGGAATCCTGCAGGATTAACATCCACCTGCCTGGGGAGAGACCTGCGAGATCCTGCTGCCATCTGCCTGCAGTGGCGCCGAGAGCCTTTCCCTGCTCCTCATGCAGAGGATGCTCTCCCTGAGCCACAGACATCTCCAGGAGGACACACAGCCAGCTGCTTGAGCTCTGGCTGCCCCCAGCACCCACACCCCCATGCCTGCACAAATCAGATGGCTGGGTGCATGCAGACCCCAAAACCCTAAAGCACTGTGGATCACTGAGCCTCAACCACACACTTTTTCTCTTGCATCCCATGACAGCAGCTAGCCTGGAGGTGCCAGGTGACCTTTTCTGGAGAAGCACCCAAAGCCACACATCCCCAAAGGCACAAGGCTGCAGTCTCAGCCTCTCTGTGACACATCAGGCAAAGCCAGCTTTCCAGGGACCCTACAGATTTGCCCTGGGTGTCCTGTAAGACAAGGAGATGAGTCCCAGAGACAGCACCTACCGGAGAAGTTCCTGGTGGCCAGCATGGTGGTGAGGATGGCTCCCTGAAAGACAAGGAAGGCAGAAGGAAAGGGTGTGCTGGACCCTGGGTCCCTGCACCCTGTTGCTCCCCCCATTCCTGGGGGAGGAAAGCCCTGCTCAGCACCTGCCCCCCAGCCACTGGAAGGAAGGAAACTTGCCCACGGACTGATATTCTCTTCCTGCCATCAAAAGCAGCTCTCAATACCTGACTCCATATCCCCAGCACCATGGCATTGGGTTGCATTCTCTAAAACTGCCTTGCCTCTGAGATTAAAGGGATATTAAATATCTGTGGGACACTTCTCATTCTCATACTACCCTGTCCTAGATGAAGCACAACCCCACTGACTGGGGCCAGCACCTGGCAACAAGGGGACCCACTGGGAGTGGAACCGGATTTAATTGTGATTAAAGCTGTGCCAGCTCAGAGCAGCAGGGCAGGGATTGCTCATGGGAGCCACGCAAAGATCACCACCGCAAAACAACATTTGTAAAAATCTTTCCCCTTTTCCAGCTGAGTCCACTAACTAGTTGCTAAGTGTATAATGAGATTACTTTGGACTAATTGCTTACAGTAATGGATTACTATTTTGAAGTGTATGCCTGAACTAATTTGATTACTTGTCTAGCTGAAAAGTAATAATAGTTTATAGACAGTTTTGTTGCTTGATAATCTTGTAAGTAGTCTGCAGCTGTCTGCTCTGTGTCATGCTGTGTTCAGGCCTGGAGTGCTGATGGCTCAGGCTGTGGCTCAGCCCAGCCTGACCCTGCTCTGCAGGCAGCATTGTGATTTCCAGAGCCCATTCCCAGCGCCCTGCTGCCAGCTGAGGCTGAGCAGCACCCGGGAGATTAATGCCTCAGGGAGGTGCTCAAGCTGGAGATGGTGATTTCAGAGGGGTCCAGGCTGTGGTACATGGAGCATCCGAGAAGGGAAAGGCTGTGGGGCTGCTGGGGTTGATGAGTTTTTTGTCTGTCTGTGGATCCCTTTATTCTTGGCTGCAAAGTGCCTCGGCCATCAGGCAAAGGGTCTCACTGTGCCTCCCAGGCCAGCCCCAAAAAGAAGCTATCTTGATACTGGCTCCAGTGCAAAAGTCCTCACCCAGTGTCTGGTATGACAGTGCTTTCCTTCACCATGGCTTTCTTTGAGCAGATGGGAACCCCGCCAGATGAACCTGTCACTACACTCAGTCTCCTTCCTCTTCTTCACAATGGGGGTCCCCAAATGCCCATCACCCCCACACCACTGCCCATAGACACCACCCTGTTGTTTCCCACCCAGGGAACAAACCCACCAATGATCTGATCGTGCATTTAGCAACCAGCTTGGACAGAGTTACCTTCAGCTTCCTCCGGGCATTGAACTTCTTCAGACAGTCCACTGTCTCCTGCCTGTGCATGCATGACGCCACGGTGGCACGGTGCTGAGGGGAGAGAGACCTGGCTCAGAGCAGTTCTGGGGAGAAGGGACCCCCCAACTGGCTCTCACATGCTCACACACGTGTATAATCTCCCATGGCCAAGGCATGGGCCAGAGCTGCCTGCAGCAGCAGCAGCAGCAGCAGATAAAACTTTAATCGGCAGTGAGAGATCGAAGCTTTGGAGTCAGCAGGATCTGCTCTGGTGGTGAGGGTGTGTGGAGAACTGTCTGCCCCCTGAGTTAACCCCTTGCCTGACCAGCCATGTTTAGCAATGTGCTCAGGGTTTGCACGTGTGTGGTTAAGCCCACAGACTCCTCCTGTCTTTAGGATCTGATTCAGAGTGAGAACCAGCAGCTGAAACAGCGGGATGCAGTGAAGGGTGGGGGCATTGCTGCTGAAGTGGATGGATGGATGAACATGAGCCTACTCCCATTGCCTCTGAAGAAAGACCCCCCAGCACAGCGTGACACAGAAATTAGTCTGTTCCCAACAAGGCAGGGAGCCTGTGTATGCCTGCCATCACCAGGTCCCCCAGGAACATGCTGTTTGCATTCACAAGCTTTTTTCTGCTGTAAAACCTCAGGGAAAATGCTGCTGTGAGAGCATTGAGAGGAACCCTGCCAGGAAACCATCTACCCAGGATGGAGAAGAGAGCTGGCAGGCAGCATGTTTGATAGCAAGTGATCCCCAATGGGATATTTCCCACTTGTGAATCCCCACATCTCTCTACCTTCGGCCCCAGCTCACCGATATCCAGGGGTGCTTCAGAGCCTCTGCTGCTGTGATGCGCTTGGATGGGTTTATGGTCAACATCTTGTTGATGAGATCTTTTGCTTCAGGAGTGACCGTGTCCCATTCAGGGGAGGGGAACTGCCAAAGCAAAGGGATGAGGGTGAGAAATGGCAGAGAGCCCCTCTGCACTTGAGTTGCTTCTCCTGCAGCTTGGGATAGGTTGGAGAAATGGTAGTCACTGGAAAGAGCTGCCAGATGGAAAATCAAAGAGCAGGAGTAGAAAAAGGAAGTTGGAAGGCTCAGGACAAGACTTGCCTCTCCCACAAAGTGACCCTGAAATGTGCCAATGTGTGCAAGTGGGCATGGCAACGAAGCCAACGATCTGTGACCAGGGCAGAGGAAAGTACTTGTTCTCATCGGTCAGAATTTGTCTTGGTGCTCTTCTAGAGCAGCAGGCTGCAAGACAGGGACAGCAGGAAAGAGAGGAGACTGTGGAAGGGGCAGCAAGACAAACCCACTCACATCGTAAGCCCCAGCCTTGATCTGCTGGTAGAGTCGGTGTTGGTCTTCATCCCAAAAGGGTGGGTACCCAACCAGCAGGATGTAGAGGATGACACCTGCCCAGGAAAGGAGATGGAATCAGTGGGAAAGAGTTCATTGCTGGCAGCAGGAGCACACACAGCCTGGGACTGATCAAGCTCGAGCAGAGAAACAGAAATTGGGGAAACATGAAGATTTGCTCAGTGCTTAAAGAGCAAAAGGCTTGTTGGTGGGTCCAGTTCAGCAGCTGGGGAGGTTCAAGGCTCTGGCAGGCACCACACAGAGCCCAAAGTGGGTGCCCTGGCAGGGGTGGGTGATGCTTCCTTCCCATCGTGGAGGGAAAAAGGCTCCCCTATGGCTGCAACTGCACGGAGGCATTGCCTGACTCCACCAGCACCACAGGGAAAAGAGGCAGGATCTCTCCTGGCTGGGAGCTTTGGGTACATAACAAAGAGGGTGATCCTTCAGAGAAGAGTGCCACTGAATTGGGAGAGAGCGTGTTGCCCAGGGTGATGTGCCACCTCCTGGGTAAATCCTCCACGCTGACTTCCTTGAGGTGTGACTGGAAACTGCACCTTGGGACGTGGAGAGCAGCTGGATGACCAGCCTGCCTCATCCCGCCCAGCGCAGCCCAGCCCGCTCCCGGCATTCCAGCCCAGCTCTGACTTACCGCAAGCCCACAGATCCACGGCTTTGCCGTACGGGTCCTTCCGGAGCACCTCGGGGGACAGATATCCCGGGGTGCCGGCGAAACCTGCGACAGACAGCCCGTCACCACAGCAGCCCCCGTCCCGCAGCGCTCCGCAGCCGGGACTGCTCCCGGCCAGGCACAGCCCAGGGTGCTGGCACATCCCGACCCCTGGCACAGACACCCTCCCTCCAGAAACCTCCGTGACCCCCGAGCGCAGAGCAAATTGTGTTTTTCTGCCACTGCCAAAGCCCCGATGGTGCCCAAGGCTGGGGTGCTCTGCTGGGCACTTCCAGCGCCTGGAAGAGGTTTTCCTCCCACTGCTCTGCCCCTGTTGCTGGCCTGTCCATCTCACCAGGACACCTCGGTGACTGACTAGTCCCTGTGGAGCTGTTTGCTCCACATCAGCCTGCTCATCCACAGTGCTTCCTGGGCTGCTGCTGCTGGGACTCTCCCATAACCCAGGTCCTGGAGCCCCCCTGAACTACCATGCCAAGCAGGGCTGGAGGGGACCCCACCTCAGGCCAGTGCTACTCACCAAACCACGCTTGCTGGTCGCCCTCCACCTCGATGGCGAGGCCAAAGTCAGCCAGCTTGACGGCAGCACCCTTCAGCTTGGATGCCAGCAGCAGGTTCTCTGGCTGCAGAGGGAGATGGGGTTGGAGAGGAGTGAAAACCCCTCAGGAACTCTGCTGTTGGCAGGGGCAGCTTCCCAGCACAGCACAGAGGAAGATCTGGATGATTAGGATGTATTCCCTAACTGCTTTGTCTTGCTTTGTGTCCTGGTGTCCCTGGATCCTTAGGGGTTTACAGACTGCAAAGACCTCCCTACCCCACCTCCCTTGTGTTATTTCAGTCCGGAGCTGTCTTTGCTGTGTGCGTTCCCCGCAGCCCTGCACGGTTCCTCCCAGCTGTTCCAGCAGCCCTGGAGGACTCTGGGCATTGTTCACAGTGCTTTGCATCACAGATGGGGTTCCCTGTCCTCCCACAGGCGCTCTCCCTGCAGCTCCTACCTTCAGATCCCGGTGAACCACCCCCATCTGGTGGCAGTGCAGGACGGCCTCCAGGATCTGCTGGATGCAGTGGCTGTGGGAGAGAGGAGAAAGCTCACACAAGTGCCCGGTGAGGCAGAGTTTTTCAGACACTTCTATTCTGCTGCATTTCACCCCTCTGCCCCTCTCCCCATCAGGCTGCCCATCAGCAGCCCTGCAGCCCAGCTCAGCATCCCCCTCCACTGACACCCACACACCTGGGGGGAGCAGTTCTAACCCAGTAGGAACCTAACAGAGCTATTGAACACCAAATAATGGTGAGCAGGAACTTAGGGAACACAGCTGAGCCTGTGGGGACCCCACAGGAGCAGCACTGGAGGCGGGGAGCTGGAGACCAACAGTGGAACCACAATAGCAGCAAAGATTTGGTCTCCAAACACAGGCAGAGCAGATGTGCTCTGTGCAACCTTTGCTCCAGCCCCTTTTCCCTGCTTTCCTCTAATGCAGGTGGCTCTGCTGTGTCTGCTTGCTTTATATCTAGTTCATTACATTCCAGCTCTGTTGTGTGCGTGAGACAGGAAGGGAAAAAGACAGAGGCACTGATCACTTCTGCTCCAAAGCAGCTTATGTGCAAGGCAGAAGGTCTTTATTTACATGTATTTTATTTTATTTGTATGACACTAATAAGTGGATGGGCTGTAAGTGGATTCAGTGCAGGCAGCCCATTAAATGAGATTGCTTTCTGCCTAGAAATAATGGATATTTCCATGCAGAGAGGTAGTGTAGAGTTTACCACCCCTTGGACATACATAGAGGCTATGCTTAGCCTGGAGGCTATGCCAAAGCTTGGGGGCACATTATATCTGGAGACTGGAGAGGGCCAGATCATGTCCCCTCAAAAGAGTGAGACTAATACTGTCCCCTGGATGAGCTGCAGGGACCAAAGGGGTGACTGAAATGGTTCTGCAGAAGGTACCTGGAAAGTGCCAGTGGGAGTGTGGGAGGGAGCAGAGCTCCAGCACAGCCTGTCTTGACTGCTCCTCCTCAGTGCTCTCAAGTGGCAAATGCCAGAGAAACACTGGCAGAGGGCTGGAATGCAGCTCCACGGGGAAGGAGTGACATCCCCAGGGTGTCTGTGCTAACATGGCCCTGGCTGGCCACCAGCCTGGTGTTGGGTTTCCTCCCTGCCAGCCTGGGGAGCCCTGGTGCCCCCAGACCAGGCAGTCCTGATGCCCTGAGACCAGGGAGCCCCCAACACCGTGTTCATTTACAGTGAGGTCAGATGTTGGCTATCCCAGCATCCTGGGGAATGAGGACACTGTGGGCAATGGCTGGGAGCCATCAGAGTCAAAGTGGAGACCAGTCCTGTGGCAGCACAGGCACTTCTTGGCACATGAGCTGAGTGGGTTAAAAAGAGCATTTGGGGTGGTTTGGTTTTGTTTGGTTGTTTTCTTTTTTCCCCACAGTTCCAGTCTATGAATATGTGTTGCAGAGTGGCTGTAAAACACCGCCCAGTACAGAAGGAGCTGGTGCTGCAGAAAGCCAGTCCTGTAGGAGCCTGGGAGGGAGCAGCCTGTGGGAGAAGGGGACACCGCCTGTCCCCAGCACAGCCTGGCTCACCTGGCATCCGCTTCGCTGTAGTACTCCCTGGCCACAATGTCCTCAAAGAGCTCCCCGCCGGTGACCCTGCGAGAGAACAGCGGGGCTGGACTGGCTGGCAGCACACCCAGCCCTGGCAAACCCCCAAAAATGGCACTGCACCGTGCATGGGGGGAGAAGCGGGGGTGCAGCACAGGGACCTGCCCTCTGCCCGGCTTGGGGACCCGAGTTTGGGTCAAACCCAGCCTCGGGAAGGGCTCAGGAGGTCACGTCCCTCCGGGGGCAGCACGGAGTGCCCGTGGGTTAGGGGATGCATTACTCACAGGTCAAATATCAGGTAGTGGTGGCCCTCTTCAGAGATGCTGTCGTGGAGCCTCACTGCAGCAGAGACAGAAGGGTTATGGGGTATACCTGGCTCCCACCCCACTCCCTGGGAACGCCTTTGCTCCCCTTTGGGCACAGGCAGGAGCTGGGGAAGGGCACAGCAGGGCTATTCCTCTTGCTATTTCCACTGGCTGGGTGGGGGTCCCTGCTCAACAGGGGACCCCAGCGATGGCCCCAGCCTGGAGAGTCGTGAAAGACTCAAAGATCACATCCAAACTGGGGATTGCCCTGGGGCTGCACCTGGCCAGGGTTCCAGGCAGCTGCTGGGCTATCTTGGGCACTGGGAAGGCTGCAGGCATGGGTGTCCCATCAGGAGAGGTGCCCGAGCAGAGGGAGAGCTCAGCAGGGAGCTGAGCTGACAACTCTGGCACCCATGGGGCTTTTTTATTTTCTGCTCATGACCTTCCTTTTCTCCTTGGGAATCTCCACGTGTTGAATTGCCCCATCTCCTGGCACCATCTCCCCTTGGGCACACCCTTTGCCAGGTATAAACCTGTCACCCTGCTGCATGCTGATTTTTCAGGCTCAGATCCCTGCCCAAACTTAGCAGGCAGGTGTGCAGCAAGGGGACTGGCACAGAAACAGGTAAGGTGGATAAACAGACACATGTCCAGCATCCTCTGCCCCCATCTCATATTTTGTTTGATTCCCTAAAGGTTATGAATATTTAATGCTTCCTCTCTCTCACCTGGCTTCAGCCTGATACAACTTTCAACATATTTGAGAATGTTGGGAATCAGTGAGGAAAAAAGAAACATTCAGGTGAGAGATTTTGTGGGAGTTTTTACTCCTAGCCCCTTTTACTGCATCTAAATCAGCTGAGCCCTATATGGAAACATCCTCCAGACTCAGTGTGAGCCAGAGGAGATAACAACCCCAGCACTGAGCGCAGACACTGAGCTGTGTCACTCTTATCTGCCAGGCCAGCAAACACCACTTTGCTGGTCCTTTTCCTGTCTCCAAGCTCTGTGGGCAAATCCAGCAGCTGCCAAGAGCATCATCACCTCATCTGGCCAGGGCACAGAGCACAGAGCAAACAAGGCTTGATGGGCTCATCAGCATCTTTTCTGTCTCTCTTGTGGTCTTGACTACTGACACAACTTGCTCATTCCATTCCCCAGTTTTCATTTCTAACTGCTGGCCTCTGCAGACATCCCCTGTGCTCTGACATCTGTGTCTGCTCCATTTTTCTCCAATATACAACCCCAGCTTTTCTGCCTTCCTCTGCTGGAAGAAACATATTTCCTCCCGTTTCATCTCGCCTGGGAGGGATTTGGGGGTATTACACCTGGGATCCCACAGAAGCCAAAGTATTCTCAGAGGGATTAGGTGAGTTTGGTGTGGATAAGGCCAGCATAACCATAAGCATATGGTCCAGATACGGTCCCTGCTTGGGGAAGTCCCAAAGCCTGTGGCTGCCAGGAGCCAAGAAGGTATGAGAGGGAGCAGCTGCTCTAAATATAGCCTGATCCTACAAGTATCTGTTACTGACCATAGTCAGAGAGCCACACTGGCCAAACCACTCCATCTCAGAGTTGAGAGCCAAGACAGGAGCAGGACACAGCTTCAGGAATGAGAGTCAGAGGACAAGTACCCGGAGATCAAACTCCAGGGCTGGGTGCAGCCAAAGTTTTCCCAATAAAGCAAGATTTCCCTGAGTGGAAACAGCTCTCCCTAGTATGCCACTCAGTGCTGTGGATGTGCTGTGGAGTCCTGGAGACCTGGGACTGCCTTTGCCCGTGCACAGCTTTCCCTGTGAGGCTCTCCAGCAGGCACAGTGCAGCACAGGTTGGCTCCTCCAGGAACTGCAGCATGGCCTCTCATGGGAGATAGAAGGGCCCCATGCAGAGAGCAAGTAAGAGGACAGCAAAGCCCCTCGACAGCTGGGGTGTTCTCCTCGAGAAGGGATGGACAGGGCTGCTTTGCCTCATCCAGCAGCAGTGCCTCCTCTTCCCCAGGCCAGGCTGCTCTGCAGTGGCAGCGCTCGCTCCAGCTCCTGTGTGGGTACAGAGCCGCCTTTGCTGCACGGAAGGGAAGCTGCAAGCCCAAGTTTCCAGGCAGCAGGAGCAGTAGAGGGGGGTGAAAGGAAAGAAGGTGTGGGGCGGGGGGTGGAGAAGAGCCTCCTGGGTATAAATAGCAGCAGATTGGGCTTGTTAGCATCTCATGCTGTTAACCCCTTCCAGCCTTTGCAGCTCTGAAGCTGCCAGGTCACAGCCAAACAGCAAGGGGTAGTGTAGGGATGGGGGACAAGGGCAGGGACAGATGAGGTGTTTTGGTCCTCAGAGACCTTGCCAGCCCCACGGGAAGGTGATGGAGAGGGAAGGGTGGAAGACAGTGGTGGGAAAGAGCTGTGGCCAAGCTGGGGACCTGGGGAGCCTGGGAACATGGGGAACCTGCAGGTGCCATCCGGCAGGTCTCACGCGGTGAGTTCCTCTAGGTTTAGTATTTCTTCCTAGTCACACACTTTGCAGTGTGTTTCCTTCAGGTCTCGGCAATCCCCACACGTATTTTGGTGCAAAGAGGAGGCTGGAGGCCCCGGAGGGACCCCTGCAGGACAGCTCCTGGTCCTGCTGGAGCAGAGGCTGGGGAATGCTGCAAGGTCCGGCACCCCGGCAATGAAGGGGAGACCTGCCATGCAGCCGAGTGCCCGAGACAGATGGAAGCTGACAGTCTTTTTTGGAACTGAAATATTTATGGGACAGGAGGCACATGGCTTGTCCCAGTGGCCCTGGATCTAGCTCCCTGAATCTGCTGCAGCAGCTCCTGGGGAAGGACGGATCCAGGTCACCGGAGCAGTGATGGGGACAGGGAGCAGCTCAGCCACAGAGGAACCCTCCCAGCTCCCGACTGTGGGTTAAGAGGGCTGCAGAAACCACCAAATGCTTTCCCAAAAGCTGCAGGATCTCGTTGGGGTTGGTATATCCTGAGGTGCAGCAGAGGGAAAAAAGGGTTCATCCAGATCATCCACAGGGATCAAGAGGCTGCATCAGCATCCCTTCCAGGATGGAGTTTGGGATTTTATTTTTTTTTTTTTACTGCAGTTTTTTTCCCTCCCCTCTCTCTCTCTCTCCTTCTGGCCTATTTTTGTCTTTTGCAGGGGCTCAGGAGTTTTCCTGAAACAGCTTTTCCGAAGGAGGCTACTTTCAGATGGACGGTCGGTGGGAAAGTCTTCGCTTCCCCCCCGCCATCGCTCCTCCTACACGCCCCGCGCTGCCGCTGCTGCTGCTCCGAGCTGCAGCCGCTTTTTGGAGCATGCAGAGGAATACGGCACCCGAGCGGGGGGAGAGCAGTAAAAATAGCCTCTTGCAGCCTCCTGGGGCTCTGCTTCTCCCTGAGGGAGCTATGGCCAAGCGGGTTAGTCCGGACTTACTTCAGTCCCCTGTGCCCAGTGGGGGCTTTTTCCCCCATGACCCCATTTGAAGATGGTGTTTCCCGTGAGGAAGAGGAGGGATGGCTCTGCAGATCAACCAGGCAGGATGACACCGAGCCCTTCTCAGCCTCTGGGATGAACAGTCCGTGCTGCTACAGACAGGGCTGGATTATGGATGGAGACTGCCTAGCCCTGGCTGGCACATGGGAGGGCAAGTGGGCAGCAGAGCCAGGTACGGAGCAGCAGCAATTGGGGCACTTACCAATGTTGGGGTGCTTCAGGAGACGGCAGATCCGGGCTTCTCGTTCCAGCTTCTGGTGATCTGAAAGAGGCAATCGCCCTAAATTAAGATCTGAGGAAGAGAATCCACGGCTCTCAGAGGAGGTGATGGCACAGGAAACCTGGGGGGACAGAGCGGCTTTTTTTTTGTTTTTGCGAAAGAGTTACAGATTTTGGAATAAGATCTGCATCAGGGCACAACTGGGCACAATCCCAGCACAGATGCAGTCCCTGGCTAAGCCCCTCAGTCACTGATGCCATGGGCAATCTGGGGTTTGCAATGATCCCTCACTCTCCCCTTCTCTTTGCTGAACAATCTCCAATCACCTTCCAAATACCCTGGATTTGCCTGGGTTATCCTTGCTGGCAGCACTGTTCCTTTTTCTCTTATTCACCCAGGCACAGGCAATCAGCCAGGACTTTGCCAGCCTCCTATGGTACAATTTGAGCAATTGAAGGCAGAGTGAACCAGTGAGAGGTGTGAGGATGAAATGAGGCTATGGGCTTCACTCCCCCTCGCCATCGTCAGCCGTTCCACATCAGGGCTTTGCTCTCCTTTGCACAGCAGAACCCTATCTCAGAACCAGTGCCTGTCTCCAAACAGGAAGCACAGGTCCCACTCCCCAGCTTTCAGCAGGCTTGGGGATGTGAGACAACAGAGCTCTGGGCAAAGCAAGTTGAGCTGAGCCAAAAAAATCCTCCACCCTGGGACAGCTCAGAATGAATCTGCAAATCATTTTGTTTCTTCTTCTGCTCTTCTCTCCTTGCTCACACCTGACCCAGCCACCCTGCATGGAGGCGCCTGACTGGAGGCATTTTGTGCAGGCACTCAGCAGCCAGGACAAGCGAGGATATAATTAGGGCTGCTGTCTCTCAGTGCTATCACTGCTACCTTGCAGGTTCACACCCCAGAGTCTCGCTCTGCATCAAACCAAACCTGGGTGTCTCCGACCGCTGAGCCGTGACAGCGGCACAGCCCCTTCTCTGCAGGCTGCACCCCTTCTCTGCAATCTGCACCCCTTCTCTGCAGGCTGCACCCCTTCTCTGCAATCTGCACCCCTTCTCTGCAGGCTGCACACCTTCTCTGCAGGGCTGCACCCCTTCTCTGCAAGCTGAACCCCTTCTCTGCAGGGCTGCACCCCTTCTCTGCAGGCTGCACACCTTCTCTGCAGGCTGCACCCCTTCTCTGCAGGGCTGCACCCCTTCTCTGCAATCTGCACCCCTTCTCTGCAGGGCTGCAGCCCCTTCTCTGCAATCTGCACCCCTTCTCTGCAGGGCTGCAGCTTTCCCCAGGTCTCAGTGTCCTGTCCCAGAGGCACCCTGGGCCCTGGGGTGCATTTTGCAGCCTGCGCTGAAGGCTGTGAGCTGAAGGCTGAGATAACCTTGGTGGATTCATTCAGCTGCCCACATTGTTTCCCCTGATGGGTGGCAACATTCCCAGGGGGGGACAGGGTGACAAGGAGAGGTTGGAGCTCAGGATATTCTCACAACTAAAGTCCAAGTCCATTGTGGCATGGACGATGGGGATGGGATGGAGGGACAGTGTGACCAGTGGGGCAAGCACTTCACCAAGGAGGTGGGTTACAGCCTCTCCTATGACACAAACCCAGCTCCTGTACACAGCCAAACCCAATTTTTCCTCTAAAATCTCCAACTTGTCTCCTCCTGGCCTGTCTGTGTTGGCAGCCAGGAGGATGTCTAAAGAAGCAGCCCATGGCTGGGGATGTTTTGCAGCTTCTCTCACCTTCTCCCCACTTCCCTCCCGCCTGCCCTTTGTATCTGGGGAAGTGCCATCCCCCCTGCCAGCACTGCAGAAATAGGGGGTCCAGACCATTAGCCAGAGTCACTGGTGATTCAGCTGGCAGAGAGAGAAAATAACTCCAGTGAATCCTCTCCAGGGGACTGCTGGGCACTGCAGGGACAGCACAAACCCCAGGGGAGAATGGAAAGGGGCAAACTGTCGGAGGAGGAGAGCGGAGGCAGGAGGGAGCAAAGGGAAGGCGGCTCAATCTGCTGCTCCAGGCAGCCCTGAAAACTGGGAGGCGTTTGCCAGCTGGGCTACACGGGCAGGAGCCAAGGGCTGAGCCCAGCACTGCACACCCTGTCCAGAGCCCAGCCTTTGGCTTTGGAGGAAGAAAATTACCTGCATCCCTGAAGAGGGGCAGGGGTCGGTGCTGGAGGACCTCAGGGATTCAGTGCCTGTGTTGTGCTGCTTTGGCAGCACTGTGGGAGGGATCCTGCGACATGCTGGTTTAATTCCAGGTCAGAAAGGAGCTTGTCACTCTTTCCTGCATTTCAGTTTTGCCTTTGGAGGCCAGCAGTGGAATTGGGAGAGACACCGAGGGAGGTTAATTAAACCCTCCCGGCAGGGCGCTTCCTCCCAGCACTTATCCTGCACTCCCAACAGCCAGGGAGGAGCCGGAGCGGGGACACAGCATCTGCTGCCTCCTCCTTTCAGTCCACCTCATCACAGCTCCTCTGCCAGGTGGGGCACACGGGGGCAGAGGGGTCCCTGGCTTGGGGCAAGGGCTGGTTAATGATTTCTGTGCTGGCTCATCTCAGCCTCACTAGAGATAGACCCACTGGGACAGACCCTCCAGCAGCAAACAGGCAATGTGCTCCACCAGAGCAGATGGCTGCAAGGACTGAGGGCCCCAGGTAGAAATGAAGTCAAACCCTCACCTGAAGGGGTGTTCCCCTTTCATTGATGTAGGTATATGAGTAAGAAAACTTACAGACCCCAGCGCAGGGACAGGGTGTCAGCAGGGGCCCTCTCAGAAGTTATGCTCCCAAAATAACTGTGCTACCCTGTGCCCAAAGCTGGCAGCACTCTGACTTGTTGCAAGGCTGTAACCATCATTTTGCTGCAATGTGTGTGCAGGGTGGTGGTGAGGAGGTCTCAGGACAGAAATGGGGTCCTCTGGCTCACGATGTAGATTGGGGTCTGGGAGTTCCCCTGAGCCTTGGCACAGACAGGCTGCAGAGCCATCCCTGTGATTGGATGGGATGTGGCTAGCAGCCACCAAGACACCACCTCCTTGGGATGGAGGAGCTCATCCATCAAGGAGCTCAGTGAGTACTGCAGTGGGGACAGAGTGGGATGAGGAGTCAAGCACAGCTCAATCAAAGACCCCTCATCTCATTGCACATCAAAGGCATAATCCCAGCACCATGCAGAGGGGACAAATTCCCCACTGTATGAGCCCTGCTCACCTCTTGCTTTCCCCAAAACACCCTCAGTACTTACCTCGAGCAGAGAGCTTCTTGGTATTGATGATCTTGGCCGCATACTCTTGTCCTGCCAACACCTTCACGCATCTCCGGACAATGGAGAAAGCGCCCCTGAGAACAGAAGAAGCCAGAGGTGAAGGGCTCAGTGTGGGAAGCAAGCACAGCTCAGCTCTCATGTGACTGTGGGGTGAGGGGCAGCCACAGCATGGGGACAAGGATGGGGATAGGTGCTGACTGGAGCAGGGACTTGTGCAAAACAAGGAGGGATCAACTTCCCTGCACCACCATCCTTGAGGGATGATGGGAGGAGGCACATGCGGGCCTAGAGAGGAATGTGGGTTTCTCCCCGCTGTGCTCCTCTGGGACACCCCAGGCACCGTGCACTTTTCCTCCCCTTCCTCCTGACTTTGCCCTACCTGTTGCCAGGAGGGAAGGGGCAGTGATTCCCACTGGTTCCCAAGGGAAACCGTGATGGCGGCAGCTGCCACGTAGCTCTTGGTCACTTCAGTCTGTGTGTTCTAGACCCTTCAGTCACAGCAGGACTTGGCAGCTGTGACTAGTGCCAGATTCCCACCCCGCACTGCAAAACTGTCACCCAGGCAGGGACAGCCGGGTGACCCTGTGAGGATGGAGCCCAGCTGGACAGGGATGGATGCTATTGCACCTTGCAGATGCCCAAGCTAATGTGCAAAGCTCTTCTGGGGTCTGGCAGGCCTTGGGACACTCCAAAGACTCCTGTCTGCCCTGGTACCCCATGCCCCAAGTCCTGCCAGCTCGTGGCACTGCCAGTGCTGGCGCAATGCTGGGAGCTGCAGCACTGCAATCACACACACATGCACGCTCCAACCCTGCTGAGCACAACCTTTGTGCCAGGTTCCCTTTCCTGCCAAACCTCTCCAATCGCTAAAATAACAACTATTAAAAGCAATCCCACCTCCTGCCCCACCTTCCCCCATTCCCTTTCACCCCACTCCAACTCCCTGCTGAGGAATAAAAGGCCGCGGGCTGGCGAGTGCGGCTGATAATTGATTTTAGCGGCAGGGGCGGGTGGAGACGGGCAATTTGGGTTTGAATGTGATTTTTGGAGGAGCAGGCGAGCAGCGGGTGTGGAGGGATGGGGATGGAGCCCCAGCAGAGCTGGCAGCCCACGCGCCCAGTGCTGCCTCACAGAGCATCGCTCACGGCACGTGCCAGGCAGGAGTTGAGGGAAAACATCCTGGTGCTTCCCAGCTTCCCCGTCCTGCCATTTAATCCTGGCTCCTGAAAGAGCTGAGCTGTTAATATCCCTGAATCCTGGGGAAGAATAACTGGAAAGGGTGGGCGAAATGCTTCGTATCCAGCTTGCAGTAGGTAGGCAGACCAGAACTATTGGCAGTCCTGTGGTCTCGCTCTCTTCATCCTGCTGGGAACCCCACACCGTGTAGAGTTTGTGGGCTCCTGTATATCCCTGGGATTCATCTTCTCTAATTTTTGTCCTAAAGACATGTGTGATGTTTCTGCAGTGGCAGGACAGTCTGCAGCAGAGAGTGCAGCAAGCAGGGATGTCCCTCTGCCCCAGCTCAGGGTTTCACTGCAGAACCCAGCATGAGGCTGGAGGGCTGTGGGTGTCCCAGATCCACTGGAGGCTGGAGACTAATAGTCACTCCTGGTCCCAGTGTCCACAGCCACTTGCTCATCTATTTAGTTGAACTGAACAGCAAAAAAGGAGGAGCCATGGGAAGCGGCTGTTTCACTCCCCCAGCTGCATTCCTGGCTTTTGGCTCCTCCAGACCTTCCTAACAGAAACCAAATGTCTACTTGTGGTCTGTAAAGCATAAGTAAAACCCTGTGTGCCTGGAGGGTGGGTGGAACATGGAACACTGGATGCAGGTGCAGGATACCCAGGGGTACAGCATACTTGCCATACCCCCATCCTTGTTCCAGCTGGGTCCTTCAGTGGGTCTGCATTGGCCAGGAACCCTCCACACTGGGTGTTTGACCCCCAGCCCGGCTCTACTCCCTGTGCCAGGCTGCTACCTTGCTACTCAGTTCCATGTAGGATTTTTCCAGCCTAGCGGGGAAAAAAACCACTTTGCTCCATCTAAATACATCATCTTCATGGCAAAGGCAGCATCCCCTTCCACACCAAGGGCTCATGGCGCACTGCAGGCAGTGCTGGGGGTGCCATGCAGGGAGTTCAGCCCTGCTGAGCTGCAAGAAACCCCTCTGGAAGGAAGGACTCCTGTCCTGTTCCCTGGCCATGGGCAGCAGCATCTTCCTTTGCTCCCAGGGTTCTGGGCCTTTGGGTGGAGATCACCCCAAGCCTGGTGGCAGCTGAGGACCCCCATCTCTGCCTGGCTTGGATGAGACAGCATGTCCCAGTGTGAGCAAGGGACGGGTACATCACCTGCAGGGCCATGGGTACACTCTGTGTCCTGGTCACCTGGCTGGACCCACAGCCTAGAACAAGCCCTGTCTCTGCAGCCCCGAGCCCTGGCACTGCTGAGCCCCAGCCCTGCAGCCTCTGTCCCTTGATCCCTAGGCCAGGCATGACCCCATGCCTCGTCCCCACGGCCTTCCCCACCAGCTCAAGCAGCGCCTTTGCCACCAGGCTGCTCCGCTTCTCCCTTTTTCACACCTTCCCTGCCAGTGCCCGGCTGTGCTGCTGCCACCCTCCCTCTCTTCAACACCTCCTCCTCCTCCGAGGCATTTTTTTTCCTTTCTAGAGAGCAGAGTGTGGGCTGGGGATTTTTTGTTCCTCCATATTTTTTTTTTTCCTTTTTAATAAGCCCCCTCTCCTGCAGCTCCGGGAGCGGAGGGGCTGATCCTGCGGCTCGGCACGGTAATTGTCTCCAGCCTCTCCCTGAACCTGCTGCGGGGGCGGATTTGGAGGCGCCGATGGAGCTGCACTTCATGTTTGTCCTACTCCGGGGGGCCGTGGGCAGGATCCTCTCCCTGTCCCCCCCGCTGCCCCCCGCCCGATTCCCTCCTGCAGGCGTGGGGATCGGAGCAGCCCTTCACTGGCTCAGCTTTGCGGGGGCTGCCGCAGGAGTGGGCTTTCCCCAGCTCCGTGTCCCCCGCTCGGGACAGATGTCCTCCCATGCTTGGGAGGTGCAGGGATGTGCCAAGGGCTTGTGCCTCGCTGGGCAGACTCTGCAGATCTCCCTGCCCATCTCGGCCTGCCCCCAAAGCCCCACCGTGCTGCTGCCATTAGGTGTGTGGCATCTCAGACCCCCGCCTGCCCGGCGGCCAGGGTGGGTGCCAGCCGAGGGAACGGCAGAGAAACAGGGCGGGTGCAGCAGCCTGGCAGCCCGGGCTGGGGACTCACCGTGTGCCCCACAACAGCCCGCCCCCGTCCCTTGGGGACAGCAAACTCAAGATGGACCCTCTCTGCTCTGAGTCCTTGCAGGACGCTGCTCCCTGCCCGGCTCTGGCGCGGGGAGAGCGGTTCTGCCCAGCCCTGCCAGGACACCCGCCCCGACTGGCACCGGGAGCGTCTCTCCGGAGGGGAACGGCGCTGCCCAGCGCCAGCAGCTGCCGCAGCAGAGCAGAGGTGCGGCACTTCGTCCTGATTTCCCTCTCTAAGCCCATGAAGCAGAAATTTCCCCGTGGGAAACCGCTGATTTTTGAATGTGCCAGGATGTGCTGGAAACCATCCCAGTGGAAAATCCCCAACCAGCTCCACAGCACCTTGGCTAACCTGGTGAAGCCCCTAACTCGGGAACACCTCAGTGATGCTGTTGTACCTCCCTCTTGAGTGGATGGAAGAGCTGTGGGATGCACCGAGCTGGGGCTACTGCCCTGCATCCCCCCAGAACTGGGGTGGTCGGGGGCGATGCTCTCAGGGGCTGCTGAGCTGCTGCGCCAGCTTTGCTCCTTTATTCCCTTTAAAATGCATCTGTCCAGGTGGTTTTGGACCACAGTGCCGGGCAATGCAAGCAGCCCCCGAGCCTGGGTGCTCAACCCTCCAGTCAGCACCCACCCAGCAAAGCATCACAGCCCAGGTACCTTCAGGAGCCCTCCTGGTCTTCCCCCATCACTCCCAGCCTGCGAACTCCCTTCCACATCCCCACAGCCACCTCTGCCCAGCCAGAGCCCCACAGCCTCACCACAGGCACAGAACAGCCACTGCCTCACCTGCCTACCCCCTGTCACCACCAGAAAACCCTAGAGCCCTGAAAAGCCAAGAAAAGTCTGGAAAAAGCAGGTCCCACATCCCACCTTGCCACCAGCTCCCCGGAGGGTGCCCATCCCCCTGCCTGCAGTGCCAGCTGGGGCTGTCCCCACCACAGGGACCCACTCCCAAACCCAATCCCCTGCAGTCCACCAGCCCCTCTCTGTCACCCTGATGCCACAGGGATGGGTGTGAATGTCCCAGGACAGGGTGGGCTCCATTTGCCTCCACGGAGCTGCACTTTGTAGCAGCACTCCGATGCCACAGTTTGGCTGGGGAATGTGAGCAGCACTCAGCCCAGCCATCAGAAAGTCCTCCTGTCTCAGCCTCTCCATGTCCCCATCTCTGCCCTCTCCCTTCTCCCTCGCCCCCATTTAACACACCCACGTGCATGTGGGCACACGCTGAGGCACAGGCTGCTCTGTGCCCGGGCAATGCAGGGCTGCGGGGTTGGAGCATCCCTGTGCCTGCCGACGGGCACAGCTTCCCCTCCAGGGCACAGGCACCCTGAGCCCACCACCACGCTGCCAGCCACTCCGAAGGGACGGTGGCCACACGGCCCAGATTTGCACACCAGCTCCAAAAAAAGGCACAGAAACCAAAACAGAGGCACATGCCTGCTCACTCCTGCACCCGTTTTGTAGGCTCACGCTGGGCGGGACGCGGAGCATCCCTCCACACAGGGAACCTGGCATCCCCTGCTCCACCCGGGGGTGCTCAGTGCTCCCCAGGATCCCCTGGCTGGGCACAGGCAGCTCTGTTTGCACACACACACACACACACACACAAACACACACACACGCACACACTGATCCAGGCACACACGATGACAGCTGGACCAGAGGAGCCGAGCTCTCCTTTGCAGGAAAGCAGGGTCAGACAGTGCTGTGGCTCACTGGGACAGGGGTGGAGAATACCCTGGATCTTTCCAAAAGCCACAGGGATTCTCTGGGGACTGCCAGGCAGACTGGGTCTCCTGCAGATCTACTCAAGCCCTAGTGAATCTACACAAATAAATTCCCTAACGAAATGTGAGGGGTGTCCACTGCTTTGGCTTTCCTCCTCAGCTGTCCTGTCCCTCCTACCAGCTGGAGAACTTCCCAAGGGAGCTAGCAGCCTTCTTTTTTGGGAGCAGCTTTTCCATAAGAGGGGCAACCGAGCCTTTCCCAAGCAACTCCAAACCTCTGGGGTGTCCCATGCCCCCAGCCAAGCATCCACCAGCAGCCCCTGAACTCAGGCAGGGACAGAGAAGCAGGTCTGGGGCTGGAAGCTCCTGTCCTCACTCGCGTGCCCTCTCTGATTCCCACGGCATTCTCTCCATGCCCATCTCCTTTCCCTCATCTCCAGCAGTTCCCAGCACCGCTGAGTCTCTCTCCCAGCCAGGGCACAGCCCCGCTCTGAGCATCCCAGCCCCATCTCCAACTTACTTGCCCAGTTCCTCAAAGAGCTGGTACTCCTCAGTGAAGCGATTGCAGGTGATGGTGGCCATCCTGAGGGGCTGGAAATGCTCCCTCCCGGTGCGGAGTTTGGGGCAAGCAGCTCTCCTCTCGCTCCCTCCCTCTCCGTGTGCTCCCGGGGCTCTCTCCTCGCTGAGGTAAATAAGGGAATATATTTGATTGACAAGCCCGGAGATAATGATGAGGGCAATTTGTCTTCTCAGCTTCACAAGCCTTCGTCAGCATCGCCGTCCCCATGGTGACCACCGCTGCCAGAAACGCCCTGTTTCTGTTGCCGGGGCAACTGCTTCCCAAACCCGCCGCCCTCCGTGGGGACCAGGGCCCTGCTGGGCACCCGGGCCGGGGGCTGCCCGGGGGTCACCCACCTGCTGCGGAGGGGGACATCTAAAATACAACTATTAATGGCAAATTAAAGGCTGTGGCAGTGGTAAAATAATTGGGGCAAAAAAGGTTTCCATGGAAACTGTGGTTTCCATGTTGCAGGAGGATGCTGTCACCCCAGCAACTGCTTATCTCCCCCCGCCCCAAAAAAAAAAAAAAAATACAGGCCCTTCTGGTACCTGCAGCAGCATTCCTGGGGGCCCTGCGGGCTGTGGGATGGGGCCACACTGCAGCAGGAGGGAGCAGATGGAGCAGAAGTGTGTCAGGAGAAGCTGGAGAAATCATGGCAGGTCCCAAGGTCCCCACACTGTCCCACCTTCAGCCAGGGTCCCCAGAGGGGCTGGCCCCGATCACACTGCAGGGGAGGGCTGGCTGCTCCCCACTCCCCCATTTGCCCACTGCATCCCCCAAGGGCCCTGGGGTTCCCGTGGAGCAGCTCCTGAGGGTCCCTCACAGAGAGGGATGAGCAGCCTGGCCTGAAGCACAGATAGAGGAGAGCAAAAGGACTGTGTCCTGGGGTGCTGTGTCCCTGTGCTGCCCAAGCCAGGGAAGAAAGGGGGGAGTTTCAAAGTGCGAATAGGAGGAAGGTCTGGCCTCTAGTCCTTGGACTTTTTGTTGCTGAGTCGCCTTTCTGCTGTGCTGAACATAAGAAAGCACAAAAAGTGTGATAAAAGTGGAGATGTGAGATCCAAAACCTCAAGGAAGGGGTTTCCCTCTGAGTCCCCACCAGCCCTCTCTGGGGATCCAGCAGCACCCACTCTGTCTACAGCACCCCTTGCATTTTCCACCTGCTGACTTCCCCCAGAAGATCTTTCTACTAGGCTTGTGTCCCATTTCTGGATGATTTTGCAGCAGCGGGGCCCTCCTCACAACAGGAGAAGGGACTCCCTGTGCCAGCTGGGAGGGCATTGCCTTTGGCAGCTGAGACAGATTGAGTTCTCTTTCAGGCTGCCATGGAAGGGTTAAAAGGAAAATAAAAGGTTCTAACCAGACAAAAATAGGGAGAAATCTTTGAGAGGGGAGAGAGGAGGAGCAGAGAGGGAGAGAAGAAAGGAGGTGGAAGTGGAGGAGGACAGCAAGTGGCGGAGTGAGGAAGAGGAGGGGGAGGAGGAGAAAGGTCTAATGGCTTTTCCATTAATTGCACCATTACCCACCTTCATCCCCACCTTGTATCCCTGCATCCAGCCTCCCGCTCCTGTCTGGTCCCATCCAGGGGACCCTGGTGGCAGAGCAGGGACTGATTCCCAGCCATGGAAGGGCACAGGGGTGAGGCCACAGTCCCCAAGGGTTGATGACCTCCAGACCCACCCTGGCCGTGCCCTGGCATGGGCAGAGCACACCAGGCACCCCCACCTGGGCTACAGGCAATGCACATGTGCCACCTGTGCCCCGGGGACATGACAGTCCCCAAAATGCCTCCAGGCATCTGCACAACTCCTCCCCATGGTGCTCCCACAAAAAAAGAGGGGTTCATTCCCCACCCCAGGGCTCTGCCAGGTGGTGGGGGGCTGCCATGGGGGCCGGTGCATCTGGATGTTTGTGGGAGTGCTTTCCTCCCCCAGCATTTTGCTGCCAGCCCCCAGCAGCCCCTTGGAACCCTAGAGGCAAGAGCAAGAGCCCCCCACTCCCAAGACCTCCTGGATGGCCGTGGGCAGCGCTGTGCCCCTGCCTCACTCCCACCTCCCTCCCACCTGCGCTGCTGTTCGTGTCCCCGTGAGCTCCGCAATGTGACCTGCCCCCCTCCCCGTGCCCACCCCCACACTGCCACACGTGCTCAACCCCACACGCGTGACTCTGCGTGCTCCCGGAGCCGGAGGAGGGATGTGTCCCTTCCTTCCCCCCGGGGCCCCTGCTGCAGCCCAAACCCCTCACCCGGGCAGGGGTGATGGCAAAGTCCCCCCCAGGACCCTGCCTCCCCCCCCAGGGTTCTCCTGCCCAGCAGAGACACGGCTCTCCAGGAAAAGTTTCTTCCTCTCTGTTCTTCTCTCTATTCAGTTTTTTTCCTTTTCCTCGACATTTTTGTTTCTTAGGGTAAGGGGGTGTCAGACTTCTGCATGCTGAACAAGCTCTACTTTGCTGGTAGTGTTTTCCCAAGCAGGAACAGGTCTCAGTCCTGAGTGCCTGGGGACAGACCGAGGGGAGCAGGAGCTCTGGGTGGAATCTTTCACCTCTGGGCTGGGGGTTCCCCTGTAGGGGGGAATAGTCCCAGTCCTCTCCCAGAGGCCTCCGGATATTCTCAGGATGTGTCTGTTCCCACCATCCCAAGATTTGCTCCTGCAGGGCTTTGGGAGCCATGCTGCTCTTCTGCTGCCATGCTCGGGTCTGGCCACCTGATGGAGACCTTCATCCCCAGTGCTCCTCTCCATCACTGGGCTGGCCTCTCCAAAAATGCATCCTGCTCCCCACACCCTCCTCTAGCTCTGCCTGTAGAGCTTTGGTTTCTGCACCACGGGGCTGGCCCAGGGTAGGCACCCGAGGTCGGATGCTGAACCCCAACCCCACGGGATGCGCAGCTCAGGAAGGACCCACGTGTCCTGGGGGGCTGCAGCAGGTGCCCCTGCTCCCAGGGGATGGGGCTTACAGCAGTGCCTCGCACACCAAACCAGCCAGGCTGCCAATTACATACTGCAGAGATCCCAAAATTACTGGGACAGTTTCACATGCAAGCTGGGGTCTGGGGGATGCTCAGTTGCTGTCCTCTGGAAAGATGAATTTGGGGTTATTTTTAGATAAGATTATAAATACCGTGGTGAGGAGAGCTGATTTACATTTAGGGCTGTGTTTGCAAACGTGCCCTGTCCCTATGGGCCCAGCAGTTACTCCTGCAACCACAGGAAGGTGCTTTTGGCCGAGACAGGGTGTTCTCAGTGCCACTCTCTCCCCTACAGCAGGGTTCATAGGCAAAGACCCTCCAATGGACATGCCCATGACACTTGGGGACAATCAGTAGGTGCCATGTGGCTCCCTGGAACCATCGTGCACCAGATCTGAGTGGGGGGAACCTGCAAAACCACATGTCCTCAGATCACTGGCATGAGAAAGAACACAAGTGCCCCTGATGCAGAACACCTTCTGAGATGCTCAGGGTGCTCTGCCACTGGGGCAGTTTGCTGGGATGTCCATCCCCTGGCCTGATACTGGGCTTCTTCCCTCTCTCCGGTGGGAGTTGCCTGTGGGGTTGGAGAGGCTCTGACGTACCCCCAGTCCTGCCTAATGCATCCCATCCCTATTCCATCCCCGTCCTATCCCACTCCCCTCCTCTTCCCAGCCCAGCCCAGCCCAGCCCCACCCCCCTCTTATCCTCCTCCCCATCTCTATCCCATCCCAACTCCATTCTTTCCCAGCCCATCCCCTTCCCACTCGCTCCAGCCAGCAGGCTGGAAACAGCCAGGGTGGGGACAGCCAGTCCACACGGACAGAGAGGCAGCCACCACCCCTCCATCCCCGGGGGCCCCGGCTGCACCCCCTGCCCCTTCCCTCCAGGCCCCCATCCTGCACCCAGCTCCTGCTGGGCTCGGGAGCTCCCTGGGGCTTGCCAGGAGCTTTGAAGGGAGGTTGGGAGGGAGGGGAGCCTCAGCCTGTCTGTGAAAACACATCTCCCGGGTGCGGGGAACTCCACTGCTTGAGCATCTCTCCAGCTGCATTAACCCCTTGGCAGCCAGAGCGCACACACAGTCTCAGAGGACTTCAGCTCTCTGAAAACATGGGATTTTGGCACATAGCTGCGTTTTTCACAGCACAGACCATTAAGAGCATTGCTGTGATGAGGAGAACACGTGGCAGCAGCTGCATCTCCTTTCCCAGCCCAATGTTAAGACACAGCACAGCTGGAATCAGGGGTGAAGGACAGCTGCTGTCCTCAGGCTGGAGGCTTTGCTCTCTCCTAGCACCCGGAGATGCTCCTGCCTACTTCTCCTCTTTGTTTTCAGGGACTAAGCTTTTCCTTCAGCTGTTTTTTCTTGCAAAGATTCAGAATCCAACTCTTTTTAATTAAAATACAGATGACAGAAGATCCACCACTGTGGCCAGGCTGACTGCAAACCCAGCATCAGCCCAGCAGATCCAAACCCAGAAAGAGGAAGTGAGACCAGACGAGCATTTTCATGGGGATGTTTGTAAAAGAGAAGGGAGGAAAATGGAGCATGTTTTCATGGAAATTTACATTTTTGGAAAAAAAAAAAAAAGAAAATAAAAGAAGGACTAAACTTGGATGCATTTATGTAAATATGGAAATGAAAGCTGTTTCCCAAGCGTTGTCACCACATCATGTCCAGCCCTGCTCTCCCATTCCCTTCAGCACCAACGCTCCCTTAGCTAATATTTATTCCCAAGCCCCTGCAGCATCACCCGCTGCTCTCCCCTGGCTTTGGCTCTGTCTGCAGCAGCCTCCTCTTCTTCAGCAAAATGTTGCTTTATTTTCAGCAACTGCTTGGCTTTGCCAAATGGCAGCCGGTGCCGCAGTCCCACTGATGGTGCACATCTCCAGGGACCAGGCTGGCTGATTTGAGGTAGTTTGAGGATGTGGAGCTTCCTCCTGGGGCTCACCTCCACCCAGGTAATGCCATGTGGAACAGTCGTCTTGGAGCAACATGCTAAGGGAGCAGGGATGGAGATGGGGCTGATGGAGGAGCGGGGTCCCCTCTGAACCCTGTGCTTGGGATGTGCCTGCACGGATGCAGGGAGCCAGCGGGGTGGGATGGCACAGCAATGGGCGTGCGTGGAGCAGCGGGGACTGGCACACACACTGCCACGCTCCAGCTTTTCAAACTCCTTCCCAGCTCTACAAGAAGAAGCCTCCTCTCTTCTGCTTTGCTGTCAGCTGGTTTTTTTCCCCTTTGTTTCTAGAGAAAATCCCATTACCCCCAAATAATCCAGCTAAGAGTAAGAAAAAAAAAATACAAACATGTCATTTTCTTCTCATCCTCATCCCTCTCTCACACACAGGGCTTGAAAGAGCACTGAAAGGTATTCAGTGTGCACGCTGCCAATTGTCACATCTTTCAATGACAGATTTTAAATGAATGTTATTTTGCAAGGGAGAAAGAGAGGGGGGAAAAGAAAAAAAAATAGAAAGCCCACACTGCTCATCCAAGAGCTGACAAGTCCTAACGGGCCTCATTTTCCAGAGACAAAAATAACTATTTTCAAAATTCACAGCAGGGCCTTCGCCTACACACGCTGCACCAAGAGAAACCTGTGGGGAGAAATGTAAAACACATTGTGTAAATGGAAATGCACCATGCATCCAAAGCGATTTCAAAGCTATTTACCCCCTTCCATCCTCGCCAGCGATCCTGCGAGCGCGCGTGTGCGCGCTCTCACCCCGCCGAAGGCGCGGGGGCCCGGAGCTTCGCTGGCTTCCCTGGCCGCTGGCGATGGGATGGGCTGGCTCCCCACAGCAGCGGATGATGGGGAGGTGTTTTCCTCCCCACGCGTGCGCTGCTGGAAGAGCAGTGCCCATCTGCGGCGAGGGGATGTGGCGCGCTGCTGGCAGGCGGGAGACGTCCCCATCATCCCCGTCCTCCACCATTGCTTCTAAAGTCCTGCAGCTACAAAACAGCAGATCAGCTTCTGCAGAGACCTTCTTGAGATCTTCTACTGCTCCAGGTTCAGCAATGGAATGTGGGGACAGGGACAGCTCCAGCACTGGGAAGGGGCAGACAGGGGTGGTTGGCTGGTTGGATGTATAGGATTCATAGGGAGGAACAGGGGTGCCTAGAGGCTTGCAGATGATGGGGGTGTCCAGGCAAATTTTGAGTGAAAGGCTCTGCTGGGTACCTAACCCATGTGCAGTCCACCGCCAGAGCCTGGGTCAAACCTGCCTCCCAAATGTGAGGCCAAAGAGAACCACCTGTCCTCTGGGAGCATCCAACCATGCCTCCATGGCCACAGCTCCTCATCAGGGCTGCTCCCGGCTCCCCAGGCCAGTGCAGAGGGGAAGCCATAGCCCCGCATGAGGTCACAGTAGCAGCATTACTTAGTCCAGCCACGTTGAATCTCAGGTCTGACATCTGTGGTCAGGAATCCAGTGCTCCACAAAGAAGCAATGTGGTCTTGGGTTTGGGGGAGGCCTTGAGTTCCCAGCAAGAGCAAAGGTTGCAGCTGCTTGGCAGCAGGCTGCAAGCCAGGGACAAACAGAAATGTTGAGGTTTAACGTGAAGGCAGAGCACCCCATGCTTCCTCTTGCCCTTGTGATGGCCAACACTTAAAGCTTATGACTGGCTGCAGAATCCTTGAGGAAAGGGTCTCTCTCTTTGGAAGCAGCTGTGCAGGGCCAGCCCAGCTCAGCACAGTCATTCACCACCACCAAGCACTGCAGCAGAGACCACACTGCCCTTCCTCACCCACTGGGAACAACTCCCTGTGGCCACCACTCCAGCCAGGGGGGAGAAGTGTTTTGGAGTAAACCTTGGAGCAAGGGAGAGCAAGAAAGCACTGGCCACCTCCCTGCCTGTCCTTCTCCCTCGCTCCCATCCCATGGCACTGCAGTCCAGAGCCCCACCCTGGCCAGGATGGGTGGATGCTGGAGGAGTGTCTGTCAGATGCGGTTGGACATGAGCCTGGTGTTCAGCTTGCGGAAGAAGGAGCGCAGCTTGCAGATCTTGCACTTCTTCTTCTTCTTCTTGTTCCTGCTTTTCAGGGACTCCCGGCCACCTTCCCACTCCTCCCCATCATCCTCACTGGCCCAAGGTCCCCAGGCCCCACCGTTGAAGTCTGGGTGAGCCCGGGGGTTCTCCGCAGGGTACCGCACCGGGATGGCTGTCCGGTTGTAGTGCACCAGCCTCATCAGGAGGGTCCTGACCACGTCTGGGCGCTGCCCTGAGAGGTCGTAGCGCTCGTAGGGGTCGGCAGTGATGTTGAAGAGCCACACGGACTTCTTCAGGCCATCAGTGAGACGCTCCAGGTTCCACCAGCTCCCTGGAAAGTTGGTCAGGGTCTGTGGGGGTATCCAGTCACTGTACCCTGGGTCACCAGTGAGGAGCTTCCACTCCCCAACCCGGATGGAAGCTTGCACAGCCGTGTTCCAGATGCCGAAGCCATCCTCCAAGGAGCCATACTTGGCGTGGTTGTACAAGGGGTCAATATTGTGCAGGATTTCAGTGCGTGGTGAGTCCTTGCCCTCACTGATAGCAGGCCAGACATCATATCCATCCAAGCCTTGGACATTGCTCAGGTTGCCCCTAGCCAGGCTGACCAGAGTAGGGTACCAGTCTGTAATGTGAACTAGCGCCCAGCTTGTCCGACGCTTGCGCTTGATCAGGGGACTGTGGACAAAACCAATGCCACGCACTCCCCCTTCCCAGTACGTCCCTTTGCGACCCCGCAGTGGCCAGTTGCTTCCCCCGGAGAAGGTCTGCCCACCGTTGTCCGTGGAGAACACGATCACACTGTTGTCATAGTACCCATACTTCTTGAGGGCCCAGGTGATGTTCTTCACCGCCTCATCCATGCAGGTCACCATGGCCGCGTACTTGCGGCGGGCGACGTTGCCCATGGAGCGGTAGCGGTAGATGTACTCCTTGGGAGACTGCAGGGGCGTGTGCACCGCTTGGAAGGCCACGTAGATGAAGATGGGCTCCTTGGGGCTGTGGGATGCCAGGATCTTGCTGACGCGCTGGGCGTACAGGAAGGTGGAATACTTCCCGCTCTGGTCCCACGCCACGTCCTCCCCCTCGTGCAGGTCGTAGCCGCAGACGTCCGGCCCGTCGCAGTTGTCGTAGGTGTAGTAATCCACGTTGCCTGTCAGGGAGCCCAGGAAGGTGTCGAAGCCCCGGCGGGTGGGCAGGCACTCCTTCTTGTAGAAGCCAAGGTGCCACTTGCCCACCATATGTGTGGAGTAGCCGGCTTCCTGCAGCTTCTGTGGCAGGGTGACCTGGTCGAGGGGCAGGCAGTTGGGCTGCCGAGGGCGGATGATGGAGTGCTGCAATCCTGTGTGGATCTGGTACCTGCCAGGAGCAAGAGCCAGGGGAAAGCAATGGTGATGAGGAGCAGCACTGGAGGAGGATGTGATGGCACTTTATGTGTTAGAGAACCAAAACAAATGCAGATTTCCATGTCCCCAACCCAACCCAATGAAGCAAGCTCCAGCCAGGGACAGAGAGCTCCTCATCCATCCATAAGTACCAAAAGTAGATGCAAAGAACACAGAGAGAGGCTCAGCAGACATCTCACAAAAATGCCACCAGCATTTGTCCCCACTGCTACCAGCCTAGGGAGGTGGCTCGGCTGCGTCATGGCTGGGGAGCACAAGCAAGTGGGCTCAAAATGCCCCACCTGAATAACCCCCCTATCTCTGTCCTCCCCTGCTTTGCACACCACAAAGATATCTGGGACCCCTCAAGAACCTTCAGGAGAGAAGGAAGGCCTTTGCTTGGACCATGGTGGGCTCCACCACTCCAGGCAGTAGGTGAGCACATCCCTGGGGCCTACTTCTCAGCAGGAGGTGGTCTGGTGGGATCTGCCTCCTACAGTGAATGCTGAACACACAGTACTGCTCCAGAGAAAGCCCCACCTATCTTAGAAGGCAGAATGGCCCAGGATAAGGGGACATCTGACTGTGCTGCCATGGGAAAAGGCAGTGGAGCAACATCCAGCCTGTGCTGGCTAGTGCAGCTCTACCCTGTGCTCAGGGAAAGCACACACCAAGGGCCTCACAGCAAATCTCCAAGGGCCAGTGTGTCAGGGACTACCTGGGGACACAGCTCCTTGCCCAGCACCAAAGACCTCCTGACTAGGGACCACCCTCTCCCAAAGTGACATCCATTACCCAGCAGCATCCACATTTTTGCTCTTGCCATGTGCCACTATTTATCCTGTGTGGAAATCAACTATTTACCCAGGAAGCTTTCTAGAGAAATCCAGATCTCCATCCTCAGCCAATACACCAGGGCATCACTCTAGCAGCAAGCTGGGGTTAAGCCCCTCAGAGAAAGGACAAAAGGGGAACATGAGTAGGTTGTGGGCAGGCACTGGCTTACCTGCCAGTTATCAGCTGGCTCCGGGACGGGGTGCAGATGGGCTGGATGTAGTAGTTCTCCAGCTTCACACCCTCTGCTGCCAGCCTGTCCAGCGTCGGCGTCTGGATATCTGAGCCGTGATAGCCGATGTCATGGTAGCCCTGGTCATCAGTCAGAATGAAGATGATGTGGGGTGGCCTGGTGAAGGTGGGAGGCAGTGATTTCTCCATGGGGTCTGTGGCCACATCAGCCACCAAACTGGGCTTCATCCAGTCCCAAGACAAATAGCCAAAGCTGAGCAGGCTGACGAGCGAGAAACCCGTGAGGGCATAGACGGCCATCCCGAAGCGCTGTGCTGCCTGCCAAGGGTGTTACTGTCCCAGCATCGCCTCAGAGCCACGGAAACAGGAGCTCTCCCCCTCCTCCAGGAGGGCTCCCTGACCTAGAGGATGCTCCCCACAACCCTCGCAGCTGGTTTTGCGGGAGCAGCTTCCATCCAGGCACACTGGCGTGCACACAAAGAGCTTAATCCGCCGGGGCTGGGTTGCCTTCAGTCAAAGGAAAATAAGCTCACGCTGCTCCAATCACACACATCTGCACGGCGGGACGAGCTCCTCGCACGGGCTGCCGGCGGCCCGGAGCCGCTCACCAGCGTCCCGAGCGCTGGAAACGCTTCCTGGCTTCCTGGGGCTTTCCCCTGCTGTTATTTCTTTATGAAGAGCTCCACAAAGTCCCCGTCAAAGAAAGTTGTTCTGGCTTCTGGTCTGCTCCAGCCCTGCGCCTGCCCGGCTATCCGGGCGGCTCGCTCGGGGTCCGGCGATCCTCGTCTTTAAACTCCTGCGGAAGAGGGTGCTAAAGTTCAAGCCAGGGGTGCCGAGCTCTCCTCCTCGCTCTCCGGGCAAGAGCCGCCCTCTCTCTTTCCCAGCCTCCGCTCCCAGGCAGAGTCCCAACATCTGTCAGGAGTTGCTCTAAGCCGCCAGGTTTATGGGGAGCTGCCGGCTCGGCCCCTCCCAGCTCAGCAGCTCCAGCAAAAAGCTGGGAAGCCCCAGGACACGCAGGGTCCTAAGCGTGGCGTTCCCTGAGCCACCGAGGCGTGTGACACATGGATCAGGACCCGCGGTGGGATGCTCAGCTGAAGCTCCCGCAGCATCCAGCGGGAAGGGCTGGATCTCTGGGAGGGATTGCTGGGGCCAGCTGCCCACACTGACAGGACCATCGTCCAAATAAACCCCGAGCGACGAGAAGTTGCAAAAACTTGCTTGAACACCTCCAGTGTTAATAAAACCACACGGGGACTTGCAGAGCAGTAAGGAGTGGTGGGTGCTGCTGCACCCATTTTCCAAGTGGGGAAACTGAGGCGGGAAAGGGCCATTGTCACAGCCAGAGAGGAGCAAGGTTTGATGGGAACCAGAGACTTCTGCCAATGCAGGGGGTACTGATCTGAGCTTGGGGTGCTGGGACAAGGGGCCAGTGCCCTGATGCTTCACGGAAGGAGTTGGCAGAGATGTGCAATGGCCCTGTGCAATTCCTTCTGCAGGGCCAGCACTCACCAGGAAGCCCTCGTGCCTGGTATCCATCTTGTCCCCCCCAATTTCCCAGCCAAGGACATGGCCCAGGAAAGGGGATTTTTTGCACAAACCCACTCACATTGACCCATCCCTGTCAGAGCTGGCCCAAGCAGAGTCCTGTGGCTGTTTGCAGTTCCAAAGTGATGGACCTGAGGGGTCCCAGTACACTGGGCACACCAAGAGCCCCCAGCCCAGCCATGCCATCTGCCTTTACACCTGCAGGGCTGTGGTGGGGGCTCACTGGGGTCTGGGAGGACTCTGCCTTCAGAACTGGTTCAGAAGAGTGGATGAGACAGATGGCTCCATGGCTCCCTACATTTTCCCTTCCCAGATCCCCTCCCTGGGCTCCTCCCACACTCCCTGTCCTTCCACTGACCCTCCAGTCCCCAAGTGTCCCCCCTGCCCCACACCAGCCTGCTCCCTAGGACCCTAGACACCATGGAGGAGTGGGGAGGAGGGATCAAAGGCTCCTCACTCTCCGGGACTCCCAGGAACAGCAAAGGGAGGATGGGCTTCTCCCTCCTAGCTTGAGACACCGGCAGAGAGCATGGGGTCAAGGACAGGGACCAGGACAGAGCCGGGGCTCAGGGGCTTGCAGGAGCACAGGGAGGGGTGCAGGGGACAGGAGCAGGAGGCAGGGATGGATAGCTGTGTTCTGTGCTTTTCCCTGCTGGCAGGAACCCCTGCTCACTCAACAGCTCAGAAGGGCTGGGCTAAGCCCTTCAGTGAGGTTTGATTAATCCCCAGGGGCTCATCTCTCATTTCTTCCACCCGATTCTCTTCTCTCTTTCCCTCCTCCTTCCCACCACTTGCCTCCTTTTCTTCCCCAACACCTTTAGTTTTGAAAAATATCCTCCTCCTGGAAAAACCTGGATGTGACTGAAGGGAAATAGAGGTGGGGGATCCCTGTCTCCTGGATCCTGTGTTCTCCTGTACACATGGCTCTGTACACACACCCCAAACCAGAGACAGAGTTATTGCCAGGGCTTGTAATCAGAGCTCTTCCCAAATAATAAATAATGGTCCACTTGGGTGAGTGTTACAGATGAGAGAGGAAATTGAAGATGTCAGGCCTGAGACATGGCAGAGAAACTGGGTTCAAGGCAACACAGATCACTGATAAACTATGTCTTGCTTGGGGCCAGAGGATGAGCAGGAGGGAGGTGCAGGAGGGGGCAGCAGAAGGGATGTGTGGTCACAGGAGTGGGTTTGGAGCCCACCTACGAGGAGCAGGGCTGGATCCCACCTCTGAGGAGCAAGAGCAGAGCCAAGCACCTCCTGGGTGTGAGGATTTGCTGCTCCACAGCTGTGTGGTGGGTCACATCCAGCTCACACCCTTAGGATCAGGAGGCACGGGCTGGGAGAGTCATCCTGAGTTTAAGCTGCTGTCAGTGACCAAAGCTCAGAGGGTTGAAGGAGGGAAGGAGGTGGCAACAGGGATGTGGGCACATACAGACACATGGAGGGGACATTCTGTGCCAGCCAGGGCAGCCAGCTCAGTTAAATCAGTGATGGGTCCAAGCTGGCCCTAGGTCTGGGGAGGAAACAGCAGGGTTAACTCAGCCAAGGGAGCTTTTCCAAGAGCCAAAGGGTGAATAAATAGTGAATTTGTTGGCAGTGACCCTGCTCAGAAGGTTCGGGGACAGCTGGCTAGGTCTCAGCAGCACATGGACACTTTCTGAGTGCTCCTCCAAGAAATTATGAAAGGGCGAAAAGCAGCAAGGGATACAGTGAAAACACTCCAGATCCCAGGGAATGGGGTGCAGTGGGACCCTCCAACCAACCCCACCGATACCATGACAGGAGGCAGGAGAAGGGAGCGGCTAGCAGAGAGGAGGAGGAAGAAATTACAAGTCTGGAGTTTTGGGGTCAGGACGATTTAAGCTGTCTGCACAGCTGCTCTGAGAGTGATTAATGCATCACAAGGTCTTGGGATGGAAAAAGTACTCAGGGCCTGCAGGCACCCCCTCAACCGCTCTTAATTCAAGGCAGTCACTCGTCCAGCCTCACTCAAAGATGTCTCAAGAGCCAGGAGCTTCCTTGGAGAGCTCCAGCATGTTGCACAATGGGGAGATTTCCCCTGGCAGCTGGCCTGGCTGTGAGTGCTGAGCCAGCCAGCAGACCCTGCCTGCTTTGGTCCTGCATCTGCCCTGGCAAGGACAGCCCTGCTCCTCCCATTACATCAGCTGCTGTGACAAAAGACACTGAATCTCCCTCCCAGCCCTGTCTGCAGCAGCAGTATCAGTTCAGGATGATGGGGAGGCCCAGCAGGTGAGCTGGATGCTGGGTGATGTGGGGCTGGCAGCAGTTCTGTGGGCACAGCATCACCCACCTGCACCCTAGCCCAGCCCTTCCAGGTGCCTGCAGACCCTTCCCAGCTGGAACCAAGCCCCTATGCTGAGGAATCACTCAGCAACCAGGGTAAAGTCACCAGCCAAAGTCCAAAACGCTCCTTTTTGGTGCCTTTACACCCAGGTACATGACCTGTGAGTCTTCAAACCCTGACCAGTGCCTGGACCAAGTCCCTCCATGTCCCTGCAGCTGTGACAGCTCCTCACATTTGCACAGCTGGTTCTCTGACCAAATATTTAATTATTACTTTTTTTCAAATTATTAATTTTATGTGGCCTGGGGCAAGAATGAAAATAAACACAGCCCTTCCTGCTTTTTTCTCCCCACCGCCCCCCAGCTCCGGCCGCACTTGCGTTTTGGCTCCGAAAGTGCTCGCTGCAAATGGGGTTATGCAAACAGGCTCCACATATTTCTCTGCGCCTGCGATCTGCCACGAGGGCCACACAGCAAAGTTTAAAACTAAGTCTCAAATCTTTCTTTTTTTTTTTTTTACTTTTTCCCCCCTTTTCTCTATTTTTTAACCCTTCCTGAGGCTGTAGCTGTTTCAGCCCTCAATACTGCCTTTCTCTTGCCATCAATGGGGCATTATGGCAGGGGATTTATTGGAAGCAGAACTCCCAGGCTTTACAATGGGAGCTCTGTGCAAGGCAAATATTGCACAATCTGTTTGCACGCTGTCAGCTCACTGCCCTTCCCCTCCGACAGCCCCACTCACGCCTCGGCCTCCGGCCTGCTGAAACAGGACCTTAAAAATCAGAAAAATGAAAGGTTTTTAACAAGTCCCCTCTCTCCTGCTTCAGAGCAAGACATTTGACCTAACAGGGCATCAGGGAGCCTCAGAAAAACACCTCTTGTCGCTCTCACCTCTTAGATGTTTAAGGGTTTCCACTCTCCCTGGCCAGCGTGTGATGCATTTACTCTTTTATTGGCATGATGAAAGAGGCTAGGCAAGTCTGGAGAAGAAAGGAGCAGTCCCAGGAGTGGGGAAAGGTTGTTTTGTCTAGAAAGGGGGGAAAGGCTGATAGAAGGGGCCAGGTAATTTGTGGTGAGGGAAAGAGGCTGGAGGCATCCCTAGTTCCAAGCCCAGGAGAGGATGGGGCTGGAGATGAGCACTTTTCCACTGACTTTGGGAGCCTCCACGTGGTCCTGGACATCATGTCCTCAGCCTGGTAAACGGTTCTGTCCTGGACTTCTTTGTGTCAGGAGTACTCTTTGCTCCCCAGTGTCTTATCCTCCAGGGCTATCCCCAAGGACCATCTTCCCTCCCCGATGCATTTCAGGCAGGCAGCATTCCTGCCAGGCAGTGCCAGGACCTGCCTCCTCCCCCACCAGCCCTCCATATTCTTTTGCCCACTCTAGGACCTCATTTTTCCCACACAGAGCCCAGCACCTCTCTGCCTCTGGCCATATGGACCCTGTGG